GAGATGCAGAAAAGCTTCCTTTTCACCTCTGCGAGGTCTACTCAGCCCCGTAAACAATTAACCAGATCTGCTTCTGCTAGTATGGTAGAGATTGAAGATGTTGATGAGAACAATTTATTGGATCAGAAGAATGAGGATCATCCAGTTCTCTCCTCAATCTTTGATGCTCCATTTGTAAACCTTGTTAGGAGCTTGGAGGTGAACATCAGAGAGAAAATCATTGAGGTTTACAGTCATCCAAAGAGCAAGGTGGCAGTGGTGCCAGCAGAATTGGAACAGAAGAGTGGGGAAAGTGATAGGGAGTATATAAAGCGGCTGAAAGCATTTGTGGAGAAGCAATGCTCTGAGATACAGGTATTGTTTTGTGTACACAAGCTCTTGGCTTCTCGTTTTCTTTGTGTCATTTTTGGCACCATGAAATCTGTTTTCTGAAGAGTATGTCACAACGTACAACAATAGTTAGGACTTAAGAGGCAATCAGTAGAGAAGTGTTTGGATCCGGCCATAAGTGGGCTAGGGCTACTTATGGGCGGATCTCTGCAAAGATGTGGATTGGAGCCTCCATGGGTATGGAATGGTGTGGGTTGGCCTCCATCTATTTTCCAGAAATGCAATTTTCAACCACGTATGCAACACCATTCAATCCTGAGTTTGATAGAAGTGCCCTTTGTGATGTAAAAGAGTACCCTAGTTGTCTCTGGAATAAGCAAGCCGTGGTATGAATGCTTGAATATAATTGTATTAAAAAATATGGTTGGTTTGATATTCTTTCTTGTCTTTCAGGACCTCCTTGGTCGCAATGCAACTTTGGCTGAGGATGTGGCAACGACTGGTGGGGCCAGCAGTTATGCCCGGCCTGAGCAGGGTGCGGGATCAGACAGAGTCCAGGTAGAGACATTGAGACGAGATCTTCAAGAAGCATCTAAGCGGTTGGAGTTACTCAAGGCAGAGAAAGCCAAGATTGAATCGGAGGCATCCATGTATAGAAGCTTAGCTGGTAAGATGGAATCTGATCTGAAGAGCCTGTCGGATGCTTACAACAGTCTTGAACAGGCGAATTTTCATCTGGAGAAGGAGGTGAGAGGCCAGCAGGGCGTAGGAGGGTCTTTGTCCGTTCCAGATGTAGAGGGAATTAGAGCAGAGGCAAGGGAAGAAGCTCAGAAGGAGAGTGAGGCAGAACTGAATGATCTTCTTGTGTGCCTTGGACAAGAACAGACCAAGGTGGAAAAACTGAGTGCAAGGTTGTTGGAATTAGGGGAGGACGTGGACAAGCTGCTTGAAGATATTGGAGATGATATGGGCCTGCCTGCTGATGGTGAAGAGGAGGAAGACTGATGATGATGCTGACGTCTTACCTTTTATTTTTATTTCATGGCGTGATCTCATCATTCATCTTCCTGGTATGGAATGGATGGTGGTGGACGGGGTTTATGCTTGGCTCTGCCTTTGTACATTTCTGGTGGAATTTGTACAGTTGATATTTATTATCATTAATACTCGAAGATTCTGGATCAAACTGTTTTTTTTTCCTCCTCAAATTTAATTTATACTCGTTTGATTGGTAATTGTTCAAAGTTTCAATTTATTCCCCTTCCAGTATCCTTCAGGTCTGTCTTGTTTTTTGCTAGTTTTTGGACTAATAAAAAACCTTCACATTTCATTGGAAGGGAGAATCGAATTTAGGAGCTCGAATGGATGGTAAATGCTCTTTAACACTTGGCTACAAGGCCCTTGCGAAAGTTCATATTTCTTTTCCTTACATTTCTTTTCTCACTTGGGTTCCAAGTCTCATGCGCTGGTTCATATTTCTTTTCCTTAAAAAAAAAAATATATATATTCATAGTGAAAATACGTCCAGCCAACCTAAAAAGACACCTAAGTCGAAAGAAAAACAACTGTACTTTTGACAGAGAGAAGTCTATTTACCGGGCAAAAATGGTAAAAGTGATTAAATTTGGTTAGATTAATTAAAATTAATGGCTATTAATGAAGAGAAAACTAGAAGCAATAAGAATAAAATAGAAAATGAGTCAGTAGTGACGTGGCTAGATAAAGTAGAAGAAGTGAAGTGGTAAAGGCCCAACAAACGCCGCCTCCGAACGCAGCGACGCGGCAAAGGAAGTCTCGCCTGATTCACAACGTCAGACAAACGACTGCACATTGACAGCCAGGAATACAACAAGTGCTCACAGCTCACCCGACAACGCAGGAGTTTGAGTTCGAAGATCCAGTGGTTGTCAGCTGAACTTTCAAATCGAAAATGGGTGGTGACCACCAGGCCAAGAGCGAAACTGCGTCGTTGATCGAGCACAGGGCCTACGCCAGGGTGGGCCTGCTTGGGAACCCGAGTGACGTGTATTTCGGCCGGACGATCTCCTTCAGCCTTGGCAACTTCTGGGCCACCGTGTGTTTGCAGCCGTCCGATGATCTCGTCATCCAACCCCACCCCATCCACGACCTCGTCGTTTTCAAATCCCTGGACCACCTGGTACCTCCCTACACTTGAATTGCAATTACACAAAAATTGAAATCTTCAGTTTCTGCGAATGAAATGAATTAATAATGAATTATAAAAATCAAAATCAACAGGTGAATCGATTAGATAGTGAGGGTTATTACGGAGGCGTCCGATTGCTGATGGCAATTTGCAAAGTCTTCCTTGATTATTGCAAAGAAAACGAGATTCAGTTAGAGGCTCGAAATTTCACTCTCTCATATGATACTAATATCCCTCGACAGGTATTATCAGTTTATTTTCCATTACGCTTAATTTTAGTGATTCAGTAAAGTAGGGGCTTTTAAGCAAGTAATGATGATTCTCTTTCACTTTCAGACAGGACTTTCAGGGTCTAGTGCTATTGTCTGTGCAGCCCTGAGCTGCCTTCTTGATTTTTACAAGGTTAGGCATTTGATCAAAGTCGAGGTCCGCCCCGGCCTCGTCCTTAGTGCCGAGAAGCAACTTGGAATTGTTGCCGGTCTTCAAGATCGTGTTGCCCAGGTGTATGGTGGCCTTGTTTACATGGTACTCAAATTTCAACCATTCCCTACCTAGCCTCTCCTTTTCACATTTCAACCATTCCCTACATTACATTGCTTCTACTTGTAGTAACTTTTTAACTTCCTAGGAATTTGACAAGGAGCACATGGATACTTTGGGGCATGGCATTTACACACCCATGGATGTTAGTCTCCTCCCACCTCTTCACCTTGTCTATGCCGAGAATCCAAGTGATTCCGGAAAGGTTAGCCTTCCATGTTGTTAGTGCTCTCTTATTGTTCCCCACCTGCTGTGCAATTTGTACAACAATTAACACATTTATTTATTTGTAAGGGCAGGTACATAGTACGGTTCGTCAAAGATGGCTCAATGGCGACGAGTTTATAATATCATCCATGACGGAAGTTGCAAATATTGCACTAGAAGGAAGGACGGCATTACTTGAAAAGGACTACACTAAACTAGCAGCGCTCATGAACCGTAATTTTGACTTTAGAAGGTTTGAGATATCTGCATTTGAACTCATAATTTGATTATGTGATTGCCCGACTCTGATCCCTGAAGCTCTCATATCTGTTTATTTGGACTGCATTAGAGTAAATAAAAAATTAATTTGAAAAGGAAGGTGATTGCACAACATGATGTTGTTCAGACTATTGCCACACAAGGTTGATTGCACAAACTGTACATTTGTATGCCACATCTTATTCACTTTCTAATCCCCTTGACAGACCAGAAAACTGGATAAATAAAAACAAAAAAGATACATGCCTCACACGACACTCAGCTGGGCTGGAGTGTCTAGCGTTTTATGTGTCTTATGGCTGCTCAATACTGGTACATGGATGTTGTGCAGAAGCATGTTTGGAGATGATGCTCTTGGCGCTTTAAACATAGAAATGGTGGAGGTGGCCCGAAGGGTGGGTGCAGCATCCAAATTCACAGGTAGTGGTGGGGCTGTAGTCGTATTTTGCCCAGATGGTCCTTCACAAGTGAAGCTCTTAGAGGATGCTTGCCAAAAGGCTGGTTTTAAACTTGAACCGATACAAGTCGTTCCCTCTCTTCTAAATGAGGTTGATCTTCAAACTCTCTCAAAATAGGCGAGTGCTTGGGGTCTTTTCACTTTTGTTCTTGACACCCTCCCTCCCTTCTCTCCCCGTCTCTCATTGCTTTATATTGGTGAAGTAGAACTGTCAATTTTGGTAGATGCTCCATTAATAAAAGGGAACGACGTTAATTTGATTCAATTGCTGTCAGCTTGAATGCCTATACTTCCAAATTTCAAAGGTAGAACTGTTAATTTTGGTAGATGCTCCATTTATTAATAAAAGGGAACGAAGTTCTGCCAGCCTTAACAGAGACCAAGAGGAGTTGAAGATCAATTTTATTTCCATTGTGTAGAGAATGTTGAGATCAGAGCACAACTGAATGAAAAGACGACCTTCAACACTCAATGTCTTTGTATTTCTATTGACGGCAACGTTTCAATCAAAAGTACATTGGTCCAAACTAAAACTCAAAGTAATCTCTATAAGAAAGCATGAATTAGAATAAATTTTATGATCAATAGAACATATACAACATACCACCACTAGAGCTAGAGCTATAGAGATCTTGAGACCCCACCCAAAAAAAAGAAGAAAAAATCTAAGAATAATACACACAGCAATCAGCAAAAAGCTAAGCTCGATCAGAACCATGAAACAGTGCACTCTCTCTCTCTCTCTCCCTTTTTCTGTGCTGAGCTGAGGTTACGTGATGAGAAAACACTTTCCAATTTCTAGGCCTCATCATATCTTGTGGTTAGTTTGGCTACATAACTCACTCATGCTAACTCACATTACCAGAAAAGAAAATATCTCCTACTCCCTACCTCCAGAGCATTTTATGAATACAAGCTACAGCTGCAGCTGCCAGTGGAAGAGCAACACGCTTCAAATTTTTCGTTCAAGATCTTAGTAAACAACCACAGCCACCAACAAGCTACTTGGAACCAATTCATTCACGGGTCACATAGTGAATTCATGAGCTCCCGCGGTGAACCCCAGATTGGAAGATCGAGTAGAGATTGGGTTATCTGTTCCTCTTGTTCACTACACATTGCTTCCGCTATGTCACACAGATTCGAAACGTCACCAATGATAGCTTCCTGGGCTTCTGCCTGCATGGAGGAAGAAGGATTAAGGATTGCAATTACATTGTGCCTGTGGAACCGTGGAAGGATTTCGCCATACCACACACCCTTAACCCAAAAAACAAAAAGCTTTCTTCTCTGCCTCACTCTCCATTGGTAACTCAATTTTAAGGGCAATAAGGCTTGAGGCAACGTTCATAAGACAAGCACCGATGATACTAAAAGCAAGCATCACTGTAATTTTATATTCAGCGGAAGCAAAATATTCCAGGGCGAAATCAAGGAATTCAAAGAAAATAATAGCAGAACCCTAAAATGATGTTTGATTATTGGGAATTCACAGAAATCTTTGTTCTCAATTTTCCACAGGGTAAGTGTAAGAATGCCAAAATCAGCTCAACTGAGCCCCGACTTGGTGTCGTGGAGCATAAATTTCTGGCCTTGCAAAACCTTTAGACCCAAAATCTTTCAATTTTCATAATTCCCCACCAGCTAAACAATTGTAAAACCAAAAGAAAGAAATGCCCTTTTACCTGCAAGAGAAGCTCATCCACCACTGACCCACAAACGGACTCCGACCCTTGAAGCTCAGAAGGACCAGAACCAGGCAACGACGCCGTTTGCTCTCGTTCTTGCTCGTTCAATCGATGTTGCTGTTGTTGTTCTTGAAGATGGCATGTCCTCTCTTCCACTGCGCGCAATGTGCTCGACAAAAGTTCCCACTGGTCGATCTCCGCCTGGTACTGAGTTTTGAGCTTCAAAAGCGACTTCTTCTTCCGCTCTCTCCGGAGTTTCTCGGCATCCTCCTGTAGATCCGCGGCAGACGCAGACGGTGGAGCCCGGAGCGACGAGTTAGCAGATGGGTCGACCCGGCGCTTCTTCCTGCGCTTGAAAACGAAGCCGTCTTCATTCACGAGCTCCCAGTCTTCGTCATCTTCCCAAGCTGCTGCTCCTGAAGGTGTTGACTCCACCATTATTGCTCACAACGCAGCCACGAGCGGGAAAAACTGAAAATTTGAGACTGATCAAAATTTTAAAGTGACAAAATTCGCTCCAGTTGCCTTCAGGTGGGCACTTCAGTATGATGATGTGTTATGACATGCCACATGCCGAGAGAACGGCGTCGTTTTCACTTTCTCAAGGAAAACGACACTCCGTTTTCTTTTTCTCGGTTAATATGACAAACGACACCCAATCCCTCTCCAGCTCCTCTGTCCTCCTGCCGCGTTCCAATGGCTAAACCAGTCTCTCTGTCCCTTCTCTACCTTCGTCCAACACTCACACTCTCTCGCTTACTGCAACCACACCCAATCCTCAGAGCCGTACTCTCTCGACCATGCCCGTCCTCAACGATGTCGTTTTCAACCACCTCCACTCCGTACCCACTTCAGTACGACCTGATCGTCAACCGCCCAACTCAGTCCTCGCTCGACCACACTCGCCGCCGACCCGCCCGACTCAGCAAACCCGACTCAGGTAACTCCCCGGATTCTGAATCAGACTTACCGGAAAAACCCGCCTCCGTCTCAGAGTTGGGTTTCGAGAACTGGCTTGATGAGAAGCTGGCTTCGGCGGAGATGGACAAGTCGAAGAGGAAGTACTACAACAAGAGGAGGAAGAGGATGTACGGAACCGATTCGGAAGAAGACGAAAGGCGGAGGGAGGAGGAGGAGAGTTTGGTGGAGTTGAAGCCGGAGGTGGTTGAGTTCAACACGTTGCACAAGAGAGAGGAGGAGCTCTACTTTTACGACACGTTTACGTATCCATGGGAGAAGGACAAGCATTACAAGATGGTGTACCAGCTGGAGAAGAAGTACTTTCCTGATCAGTGTCTCGACAAGGCGTTTCTTGAACCAGGTCAATCCAGTCCCAATGCCAATGGTGATAGTAATAATGTGAAGGGGAAGGTGAAGCGAAAGAAAAAGAAGGATGGGGATGGTGAGGAAGTGGAGAGTAATAATAGTAAGGAGTTGGTGTTCTTTGAGGAAGATGAAGAGAGAAAAGAAAAGGGCGAGAGAGATTTGGTGAGCAATGTGAGTAAAGATGTTACAGAGAAGAAGGTGGAAGACTTCTTTAAGTGTTTGAAGAAAGTCCCCAATAAAGATGCTGAGGTTGGTAATGGGGAGCCATATCTTTTGACAAGGACTACTGAGCTTCCTCCCAAATGGGATGGTCCCTATGGGACTGTGGTTTTGGTGAACAAACCCAAAGGTGAGTCTCTACTCTCTACATTGCTTGTTTCTGTTTTCGATTAAAATCTGTTCCTGTACTCTTCTTCATATCTCCATATGCTTGTTTTCAATATATTGTTGCAACTTCGAGAAAAAATGGCAACATTGTTAAGTTTGACTTTTGTTGAATAAATCAAAAGATAAAGGAATTATATTGCAATTTGCAATACAGGATGGACTTCTTTTACAGTTTGTGGAAAGCTACGTCGCCTAGTCAAAGTGAAAAAGGTGCCATTCAGTTTCAGATGTTGCGTTATACCTTGCCATATAAATAAATGCTCGTATAACTTATATTCTGGTGGATTACAGGTAGGGCATGCTGGAACTCTTGATCCTATGGCAACTGGTTTATTAATTGTATGTGTTGGAAAAGCCACTAAGGTGGTAGACGGGTAGGTATTTGGATGCTTGCAATTCATCTAGTTCAATTGCTAGTAGACCACATTAGATGGTGATGTATATATATTTTTTGAATAGAAAGGGTTTTAATATATATTACTGCAGATACCAAGGTATGATCAAGGGTTACAGTGGTGTTTTCCGATTGGGGGAGGCTACTTCAACTTGGGATGCTGATTCACCGGTGTGTTTATGTTTTATGACCAACATCAATCTCATTTTGGACTAAAATTATATGCTTGCGGTTGCTTGTATATATGTTCTCTATTCTGAAATCATGATAACTAAAACCAGAGTACATAGTTATCCACATTCTGATTTTTCTCCCACACCACTCTCTTATGCAGGTCATTCAGCGTGAGCCCTGGGAGCATATAAAAAATGAAGACATAAAGAAAGTTGCTGCATCCTTTACTGGGGAGATCTGGCAAGTACCTCCAATGTTTTCTGCCATCAAAGTAAGCATTTTGTGTTCTACATGTAGTGATGACTCTAAGATAGGTGTTAGCAGAGACATAGTCGAGTCCTGGCGATTTCATATACTAAGTCCAAATAATGTGTGTTTCAATGTAAAATGTCATATAAACAGCAAGCTTGGTGAAAAGTGTAGCACAGGCTTCAGTTAAATTATTGGCATATTCAAACTCTTATATTTTGTTTTGAACTTTTTGGCTATGACATAGCAACTCCCAGGAAACTTTGTGCTTTCCTTTTCTGAATCGCATGCATATATTCTGTGGATTCTAACAGGTTTAATCATACTCAAGTTTCACTAACATGCAACAGGTTGGAGGTGAAAAGATGTATGAGAAAGCAAGAAGAGGAGAAAGCATTGAGCTCTCACCTAGACGTATATCAATTTTCCAGTTTGACATTGAGCGCAGCTTAGATGACAGGTACCCTACTTTTGTTGGTATTTGTTTACTGTTGCCTATTTAATTAACAACCTTTGTCACTCTAACACCACGCTTTGTTGCTAAATTGTATCTAGTGTGTCCGGGTAGAATTCATCTATTTATGATACTTTAGAAGTTCTGAGCTCTTATGTTCTTGAGCCTGTATATATTTATGTTTTATTGTATTTCTGCAGACAAAATTTGATATTCCGGGTTACTTGCTCCAAAGGGACATACATTCGGTCGCTATGTGCAGATTTGGGGAAGGCTCTCGGAAGGTATTCAGTTTTAAGAGACTCATTCTTGACTGTGAAATCTCCCCCTTTAAATAATTGTCATCCTATACTTGAACTATTTTACAAATGAAGAGAGGATAGAACTTTTATCTGTCAAATGAAATTTGTTTGAGCTTCTTTTTCATAATCTGTTGACGTATCTTAAACTCTTCATTTGCAGCTGTGCCCATTTAACTGCTCTTCGAAGAGATTCAATTGGTAAGAGCCTTAATTCTTGACTTTGAAGTGCTGATTAATTGCGATAATTTGACCTTTATTTTTTTCACATGCTGACTAATTTCATTGATCGATATTGAAACTTATACCATCCAAAGCATACATTGAAGATTAAGTTGTTGAAATTAATATATTGTTAACTGGTAGTTACCGATCCACTTGGCAGGGGAATTTTCTGCAGACAATGCATGGGACTTCAAAGAGCTGGAAGAGGCAATTACCAAAACTTATTTCTAACTATGATTGCAATCTGATTCTTTGTCTCACAAGTTTTGAAGCTTTGGCGAAGTACACAAAGACTACAAGAGGATCGGCCAATTCTTTTTCAAGCTTATTATAGCCATAAAAATTGAGATTCTTTTTCTTTTACCTTTTATTTTAATTTAAAATGTAACATATTTTTGTGTGTTAATTTAAAGTGTAGCATTAATCATTTAAGAAATTGAATTGTGAGAACTTGAGTTCATGATCGAACGATTCTTTGAGGCAAAACTCACTAAGACATCACCTTGGTTCAGAATTACAAAACCATATAGTTTGGCCAACCATCGGATGGGTGGTAAGCTCGACCAATCCATCATCTAATGAATTCCGTTAACTGTATGTGTGCAAAGAGAGAAGAATTCAATCCATACGACTATCTATACCCAAAGGCGCAACTCTTGAAAATGAGAACCAGCTAAAAAAGAAAAAAAACACATCCACAAGTCTAGAATGTAGCAAGCAACGAAACAATTACAGCCAGATTGAACGTAACTTGTGTAAGAACGTGGTAATTGTACAAGTTACTCTTGCCATAATCATAAACCCTCTAATGAGCTGTTGAATTTGGAGGATCAACTCCCATTGCCTCAAAATATGCTTTCTCTGCTCTGGTCATTCGTGCTTGAAACATTGTCCATTCTCTCCTGCACCTCTCCCTCACCTGACACAAAGAATTCACAAATTTCAATGCTCTCTTCTTATTTGTAAAAAGATGGTGTCAAATTGTCAATTCACTAGAAATGCCACAATTCTGTATGTCCATGACACCAGGTCGAAACAAATACACTGGTGCAGAAACACAAAAGCAGAGAGAGAGAGAGAGAGAGTTTCAGAAGAAAAACAAATAAAGGACAGAGAGGTTGTTAAATACCCCTTCCCATGGTGCTCTTCCACGCTCTGCTTGCCCCTGTCCAGAAAAAAAAATCTTGGTGAGTCACTGAGTACAGTTTATTCCAGATAAAATCAATAATATATCAGTTGAGGTTAAAAGCTCGGATTTACTTGGTTCCCGAGTGATGGAACACCTTGATGGACAATCCACTGTGCATCCACGACTCCTATTTTCTTATGTGCAGGCTGTTTCCAAGCAAAGACATAATGTCGAATACCCCAATTACAACCACAAAGAGGAGGGCGTAATATAATTAAGGCAGAAAGAGAAATCTGTTTCGAACCTCTACGCATTGTCTAAGAGCAAAATCCAGACCCCAGCCATGGACCAGGTCATTCTGCAAAAGCAGGGAAAAGTTTTTGGAAGTAGCCACAGAGCAATCCCTAAAGGACTTGCAATAGTTCGAACAGAGAGATAATAATATATACCTGAATCATGTGCCAAACACAACGCCATGCATCCCGAGAAAACACAGGCGCCATAATTTCAACAAACCTGCACATTTGGGTATTCATGGTAGGATGTATTAGAAACCCATTCCAAAAGTTTCCACAATGGTGATGGAGAAGATATCTTTACATACGCTGCACATGGTGGCAAATGCGGATCATTACACCAACCAGGTTTCTCCTCTGTCAGCCTGTAGGAAGAGGTTGAACAAAATATACTGTCAATCAACAATTTGAATCATCACTTGTATTTGGCGAACCCAATGTCAAGTGGATATATTATCAATGAGAGGAGCGGAATACAAAGACATTAGAAAATTTTCCAGTCTTACATGTGAACTTCACTGTCACCTCTCCGCTTTGTCATTTGCCATGTTAGCCCATTATTTGGTTCTAAACCAGGCTGAGATATTTCCAAACCATATTTCCTTACCAATTTTATGTATCTGGTACAAAGAAGATTAAGCCTTAATATACTAGTTCATCCGAGCAATAATTTTCAATTAAAGCAGCCCAATGAATTTCCATCACTCACTTCTCTGCGTTGAAGTGCTCCACACCAAGATCCTCATCCCAAACAAATATGTAGTCGTAGGGTGCCACAATATCAGGATGCAAAAACCGCTTGGCATACCACCTGGAAGCAGTTTCCAGGAAGCTTGTATCAAAACTTAACTTTTGCAGGGTTAAGATAAATCCATTGCAGAATTATAAGGACGAACTTCAACTATATGAAGAGGATAATTTCTTTCTAACCATTTAGTTTGCTTCTGAATGCTCACATGGATAGCCCGCCTTGACCACTCAAATTCATCCCATTCACTTGTCCGCCCATCGTAGTGAAACAACAGAATGGTGAAATTCTTTGAGAACTGTGTAAACTTATGTTCAGCAAGCGCGCGCGCAAGAGAGAGAGAGAGAGAGAGAGAGAGAGAGAGAGAGAGAGAGAGAGAGAGAGCTGTACAAATGAACTTGCAGAGAGATCGGACCTTTTTCACTGCTGCATCAACATTATTTTTCTGAGCATAGCCTACGGTAAAGGTTACAAGATACTTTGCCTTGATGATTAAGTCCTGCAAGTGCCACCTCCACAAGAAAAGGTTCAGATTAGAGAACAGATCTGACACAAAATCTAATCATCGGTGACAACAAAGCAATTGTCATTGTTGTAATTAAGTGCAATATTCAGCAATCCTCTAAAGAGAGGACAGGATAACCGAACAGCACTCTACTATAACTACACAGGCTGAGAGGAATCTAGAGATCAGATGTGTCTTTCATGCTAAATTTATGGTAGCAGATGCACACCTCACTGGGCAGACCCCATAGTCGGCGAAGATAGAAATCCGACTCAGATGCAATGATGCCTGGGGGTAGGCTTTCAGCACCTCGAGGATTTGTCGGAACCCAAATCTGCATTATAGTCAAATGGATAGTAGTCAGTGCCAGCACATAAAGATGAGGACATTAATAGATGCTGCCAAATTTCCTGGAAAAATTACATCAGAATATCTTGAAGAAAAGTATGCATCATTAGATAGTATACCAATGTACTTTTACTCCACGAGGTCTTCAATAAATAATTGTCACAAATAAGTATAACCTTTCATTGGACATTATAACTTTGCCTCTAAGAACACTATAAGGGAACGTATGTGGGGAAGGCAAAGCAATCTCTGCTCATTAATATTACAAGAATTATATAAATAACAGAATAGCCTAGGAGAAGGATTAAACCCATGTGTACTGCCCAAGTATGACTAAAACTGAATGAACGTACCTTTGCCTCCTCATTAGATACATATCTTGCGGAGTTGTCTGTGTTGCCCTTCAAAGAAGACCAGGCATTCAACAGTGCTTGGGTTGAAAACCCGGAGTACTTGTCCTCTATGTACGAAAGATCAATGGAAGGAAAAAGGCTGGATGGAAGATTCATCTACCAGATTCAAACACAATAGGAGGTCCATGTTACTCTTTATATGATCAGGATTCAGAAGCAAATGAATCAAAATACACAAGCATACAAAAGAAAGTCCGTGCACCTTAGTCAAATAGACTGTTGGAAATGAAACTCCTAAAAAGAAGCCTAATACAATTCCAACGAAGACTGTGACAACAAGCCGCATTTTCTCATTGGGGTTTCTAATATTTCCACTGCAGAAAAATTTGAACTTTGAGCGTCGTCGAAACATGATGAACATAAAGAATGTCCCAAGTAAAAAACAAGAGTTAGAAGTTTCATACATGCGTATCGGAGACACCATATTCCTATGATTCTTCAATCACAGAGATTGAATCCCAGCAAGCAATAGGTGGTGTTCCATACACAAAATAACTCAGCAGCTTTTACAGCTTCAGCAGTGAACTTCTTGCTTTCATGGCAAGGAAACCATTCAACCAACCCTGAAAAAAAACAAATGACTTGCAACTTAAAAAACATGCTGTGTGAGTCAAATTAATTACAGCTAACTAGCTCAGCTAATCTGATTACAGAAAATGACCAATTTAAATTCAGCTTGAGTTGATAAGTTCATGAATTTATTTCAAACAAGGGGAGATGAAGTTAAAACTCATGACCGAATCAAGAAATATTAACATGAAAAACGAAAGGTGATTGCCTGCCTTAATCTTCAATGGAGAGAGGAGCAAGCCAAACGCGGCCCAGCTTGTCCGAGGAGGAGCAGGAGCTTCCAATTTCGTTTCCCTGACTTTCTGGAACCGATTGATCGAACAAACGATTCACAAAAACAAAAAGGAAAGAAATTGGATGGACAATGGCACTGAGGAACAATGACTCTGAGATTTGAATTCCCCGAGGAATTTACATAACGCCTTTTAACACTTACATAGTGTTCGGGTTGCAATCCTCTGTGCCACTCATACCGGGAAGTTTGAACCATAGGATACAGTCTTACCGTCGGATTAACATACTTTGTGGGACCCACATGAACATCTGTAGATCTTGCCGTTGAGTACATTCCAAAACCGGACTGGTCAAGTCTTTGCCTTTCCTTTGAGTGGGGCCCGGTCAGATAAGGCAAAATGAAAACAAAATGATTGGTGTTGTGATTAGTGATTGGAAATTTGGAGCGTACTGTTTGACAATTTTGGGCCGGCCGCTCACTCATTTCAAATTTAATTTTGAATCAAATAAAGATACATACATTATATTACCCTCTATATTATTGTAATTATGGTGATGTTATTGACTATGATTGGATTGATCTAAAAGGTATGATTGAATTGCATTGGATTAGATTACATTAAGTATCATTCATTCATGATCACTAGTGTCTCGTACTTGTATTTGTGTTGCGGCTCCCGGGTCTTAAGTACAAGGGTTTAGGAGTTGGAGTATTGCATTATGTATCCCATATTCTTAGTAAGATAAGTTATTTTATCCTAATCGCATTCATTTTTTAGCACCAAACATGAATCACGATATTGAATTAAACTAATCCAATCTGCTACTTATCTTACCCACCAAACGAGGAACGCAAGCACGAACAGGCCTTGCCCATGGTTGAGGTGGGCTGTAGCCCATCCGAAATCTACATAGTATAATCCAGCCCACCAGCCCATCAGCCCATTCTTCCACACCCCTACCGTCTGCCTTATCCATTATGTACAAGACACTGCCCCAAGCCCAACCGTCGCTCAGCCTCATCCTCCTCCTTGCAGCCGCTCCACTCTACAGCCTCTGTGAGTTCTTCCAATTCAATTTATGATTTTGTTTCTTAGTTCTAATTTAGGGATTTAGGAACAAATTTTAATGCACTTTTGAGTTTCTTTTTGTAGGTGTCGATCAGTGACTTTCCTAAATTGAATCCCTAAATTAGGCATTAATAAAAAAATAAAAAAAATAAAAAAGATATAAATTAAATCCCTAAACTTGGCTGAGCTTATTGTATTCCTATAATTCGGTTCTTAAAGGTCCTAAGGTATGGATGTAAACTTTTTGCTGCTATGCGTTTGTTAATTGATCGTTGTTAGCTTATCGTTTTGTGGGCTTGGCTGATTGCAAATCAATGTGCAAAAATGTCACAAAAACAAAGGAGACTTTGTTGAAATTTCGAGGGAATCTTTGTCCTAAGGAAAATTGGCTTAAGTTCAGCCCACCCCAATTTCAAATCCTGGGTTCGTCCGTGCATGCAATTAATGTATTTCTCGTCTTCTTCTTCTCACTGTGAATGTTGACACTGCATCTATGCTTTGTGCAGGCCTGTAATGGCGGCCCTAGGTTCAGATTTAACTTAATCATGTACTATTTTATGTTTTTTTTCCCCTTAGAGAAATGAAATGGTTTTCCAACATATTAAACACAAAATCAACACCAAATTTCCACTTTCCTCTATAACTTTAGATTTCAAATCCCGAAGTTTAATTTGTTTGGTTATCAAATTTCAGAATTTGTTTCGAATTTGGTGGGAGTGAAATTTTAGGACAAAACAATGTCATCGCCAGACATTGCAGGAATACTGGACAAGTCAAAAGAGCTCGATCAATTAAGGAAAGAGCAAGAAGACGTGCTCATCGAGATAAACAAGATGCATAAGAAGCTCCAAACCAGTGAGTCATTCTGTTAGTCCTTGAAGATATCCCTTTAAATTTTTATAATTGGTTTTGTCCTTTTTACAGTACGTATTTCATTGGAATATTGTTCATGTTTGATTTTTGTTTTAATCGATCAGTTGGTGAATAGTGAGGAATTACCAGTATCAGTATGTTTTACATGTAATATTAATTTCTTTTTCAATCTCTCTTTGCGTGTCTATATAGCTCCTGAAGTGGTTGAGAAGCCTGGGGATAATTCGTTGGCGAAGCTGAAGACTTTATATGTTCATGCCAAAGACCTTTCTGAAAGTGAAGTGAAGTATGTTTGTTTTATATCCTAAATGAAGTTGAAAACTTACTTGGAACTGAAAAACAAAAACGTGTTTAAAAAGTTCCTATTAAGCTTACATATATCTCTACCTTTTTGGGTCGTTGGGCTGAAGATTAAATGAAATATGTTTCTGAAGCTCATGCTCTTGTCATTACTTCTTTTTCGTACAAGTTACCTTAGTTTATTGACAACCTATTCAGGTTAGTTTATTGTATTTGCTTGCAGTGTTTCAAATTTGTTGTTGAGTCAACTTGATGCTCTGTTGCCTTCTGGACCTCCAGGGCAGCCACGGAGAAGGATGGGTATGGATCAAAGACCTATAAGCATTCCTCTTAAAAAATTACAGTTTTCTGTTGGCTTATAGATAAATCTTTTGCAGTCTTTGTTTTCAAGATAAACAAATCATGAGTGTCCCAAGCCCTTTTGTTCAGTTGGTTTTATTGATAGATACCAATATATATGCTTACCAAATATATAAATAAATAAATATATATATATATGGCATTATATCGAGTGACTAAAATTCCAATGAGATTCCCATGCTTTTTATTTGGAAAACACTCTATTTTCTTCATTTAGCTGATATTACATATACTGCAGAAGGTACTGAGCAGAAAAGGAAGAGAATGAAGTCTGATTCAGATATTTCGAGGATGTCCCCCTCCGTGCGAAGTCAACTTGAGCTTTTTGCTAGTCTAAAAGGTGAACAGGTATGCAGCATCATGGTGATCTGTCATCTCTGGCTGCGGCACGCAGCCAGCTAGTCTAGCACTCTCGGTTAAAATGTTGTACTTCACTTAATTGATACTCCTTGAAGTTCTGTTTTTACTAACATTTACTTTCACTTTTAGGTAGCAGCTAGGGTCATGGTCACTCAAGAAGATGCTGAAAAGGAAGAGTGGCTTGTTGTAAAAGTTTTGCATTTCGACAAGGAAACAAGAGAGTAAGTTTCGATTTACTTTCTATATGACAACTTATTGTAGTTTACCGTGATAATTGATTGAGCACAGTCAGTATCTGTCAGCAGGTTGCTTTGTTTAATGTGGATATTGGGTGATGTTAGTTAATAATAATGGAACAAAATGATATGAAGAATGACACTCCACTGGGCCTACTTATTCTTTCAGAACCTACTTGATCCTTTTATTAAATGCCAGTTTATGTGCAGACTTGAAGTACTAGATGAGGAGCCCGGTGATGATGAAGAAGGTGGTGGCCAAAGGTGACTTCTCTTTTTGGGTGTTTTAACAATTCTGTTTCTCTGCTTTGTATTGAATGATTTTCCGATACTTAACAACTCTCTGTTTCATGATTATTTTTATATTAGCTTTACACAAATAAATTTTGAAATTACGTGCTTATCAAAATGCCAATTAGCTGAATCTAAGTTGCTCATTATTTGGGATATCCTCTTCATTTTTCTCTGTTGTCATTGCTGCTCTCAGAAAGTACAAGTTACCTATGACAGCTATTATCCCTTTCCCCAAGAGAACTGATCCTTCCAGTGCCCAAGATTTCCCTACTGGAAGACACGTTTTGGCAGTATATCCAGGAACAACTGCACTATATAAGGCAACTGTGGTGAACGGCCATCGCAAGGTGATGATTCCATCCATGCACTTTGATTCACTTTTTTTTTCTTTCGTGGATTCCAGTCCTTTTTGTTTCGTTTTAGTGATTATGATGTCGTTTTAGTGATTATGATGTGGAACTAACCCACCCCTGGTTATGTTGTGTGCGTGCTTCTGTGGGATGCTCAACCATCAGAGGAAGACAGATGAGTAAGTGATATCGATTTGTGCTTTATTTACATTCCCAAATTTTGGTAGCAGTGCATTGTTTATGTGGTTTCGAAATCTAAATTGAAAATATATAATATAAGCACCTATAACCTAATGACCTGCAAATGGAAACAATTATACTTATTTCAACTACTCGAACAACACTATTTTTCTGCATATATATTATAAGGATACATGTCATGTTCAGTTTGGATTTGGACAGGTATTTGCTGGAATTTGACGACGACGAGGAAGATGGAGCCTTGCCTCAGAGGGTAGTGCCCTTCCATAAGGTGGTTGCCCTGCCAGATGGACATCGCCAGTGATTCTTTCTTGCCGTTTATAGAATAACTTTATGTATAAATTAAATTAATTGGTGTGTATTTTTACCCTCACCACCCCCATCCACACCCCCACAGTATCTGTAACCACATGTTTACGAGCTCTTCTTAGGGCATGTTTACGTATCAGTAATGGGTATGAGAGAAAAGAGAATGATTTCCATTCTTGATTTTCCCTGTGTTTACTTGCAATTAGGAATGAAAAAATAAGTGGGCCTCACCTCAAAATCCGTAATCACATCCCCTCAAAACAAGGTATCAGATCAACTAGGGGGGAGTAGTTGATTATATTATCATTCCTGTTTTCTCTTAGTAACTTTCAAAAATACCCTTACCACTTTACTATAATTCCAAAATACCTCAAACCCTTAAAAAAATAAAAATTCACGCTAAGAAGTTTTAAGACGCTCCAACTTTTTTTTCATGTTAGGTGAAAGATATATATTTATTGGAGTTTATTTTTTCGTTTGTTGCAGCATTAGTTTGGTCTCCTTAGCCAATTTGAGAATTATATATGTGCTGTGGAGTAATCAAATTAATTTGAATTCTGATTCATGAAAATTAGTAAATAATATTAATGGGAATCAATCCCATTCATTTGTTAATTCCATATGTTTAGTAAACAACTAAATGAGAATGATTCTTATTATACCGATTCAGTAATCCCCCGATTCCTAAATTCTCTAATTCCTTATTTTTTCCATTACTGATACGTAAACATGCTCTTAGTTTAAGCTTCAACTCTATTCTTTTTTATGTAGCTGAGGACATATGTTTTATTTCTTCATTTGAGTCTCGGCAATGAAAGCTCAACAGATGGTGACACAATAGGTGATACAATACGTGTTTTATTTACAAATACTTTACCCTAGATTATAAACTCTGTCGTTTATAGCAGTTGTGAGTATTAGTTGGTCAGATTCTTGCGTCAAAGTTCGAGCACTTTTTTCCCTTATTTTTTAATGTTTTTTTAATTTTTTTGGGCCAAATACCCTTTTCCCTTATTTAGATTAAGCTAATTTTTTTCATAACAATGGCGACTAAAATCTGTTTGTTTGTTTGTTTTTTTTTCTTTTTCATATTGCATAATGTATAATCATGAGTTTAATAACATAAACAGCCAACATGAATATGAATATTATAGGATTGGGAAAAATAAAATAAAAAAGAATATTATAGAAAATAAAAAAAATTAAAACCAAGAAATAAAAAATAGTTATAGTAATTGGACCCACTGTGATCTCCAAAGCCCTTCCCCTTCAAATTCCCTCATTTCTGAGTTGCCTCCTCCGCCCTTTCTTTCGATCATCCTCGCCGCCGACAATCCATGGCTTCAGCAATCGGAGCCCCATTGTCATCCAAACTCCTTTTCACGCCCTCAGCACCAACTTCATCCTCACTCTCTCTCTCTACCCACCTTTCTCTCTCTAACCAAAAACCCACCATCCCCAAAACCCTAGCTTGCTCCAAGCCAAACAACCAACCCTTCCTCTCCTCCACCTTCCTCACCACCACAAATGTCTCCACAGTCTTGCGACCCCCACCATCACTCCGCCGGCGCCGATCCTTCACCGTCCGGATGGCACGTGGCAAATTCGAGCGCAAGAAGCCGCACGTGAACATAGGCACAATCGGCCACGTTGACCACGGCAAGACTACCCTGACAGCTGCCCTGACCATGGCCCTAGCCTCCATGGGCAACAGCGCCCCGAAGAAGTACGACGAGATCGACGCCGCCCCGGAAGAACGCGCGCGCGGGATCACCATCAACACCGCCACCGTCGAGTACGAGACCGAAACCCGCCACTACGCCCACGTGGACTGCCCAGGCCACGCCGACTACGTCAAGAACATGATCACCGGCGCCGCCCAGATGGACGGCGCCATCCTAGTCTGCTCCGGCGCCGACGGCCCCATGCCCCAGACTAAAGAGCACGTATTGTTGGCCAAACAAGTCGGCGTGCCCAATGTAGTTGTGTTCTTGAACAAGCAGGATCAGGTCGACGACGACGAGCTTCTTGAGCTGGTGGAGTTAGAGGTCCGAGAGCTTCTGTCGTCGTACGAGTTTCCGGGAGACGATGTGCCGGTGGTTTCTGGGTCGGCATTGTTGGCTTTGGAGGCTTTGATGGCGAACCCTGAGATCAAGAGAGGGGAGAATGAGTGGGTGGACAAGATATATGAGCTGATGGACGCTGTGGATAATTACATTCCGATTCCGCAACGGCAGACAGACCTTCCTTTTTTGCTGGCGATTGAGGACGTGTTTTCAATAACAGGGCGAGGCACGGTGGCCACGGGGAGGGTGGAGAGGGGTAGAGTGAAAGTTGGGGACCATGTGGACATTGTGGGATTGAGAGAGACTAGGAATACAACAGTGACTGGGGTTGAGATGTTTCAGAAAACGCTTGATGAGGCTATGGCTGGTGACAATGTGGGGCTTCTGCTGAGGGGTATTCAGAAGATTGATATCCAGAGGGGGATGGTGGTGGCCAAGCCGAAAAGCATCACGCCACATACCAAGTTTGAGGCCATTGTGTATGTGTTGAAGAAGGAGGAGGGAGGGAGGCATTCCCCGTTTTTCCCAGGGTATAGGCCGCAGTTTTACATGAGGACGACAGATGTTACAGGGAAGGTGACCGGGATAATGAATGATAAGGATGAGGAGTCAAAAATGGTGATGCCGGGAGACCGGGTGAAGATGGTGGTGGAGCTTATAATGCCGGTGGCTTGCGAGCAGGGAATGAGATTTGCTATTAGGGAAGGTGGCAAGACTGTTGGGGCTGGTGTCATCCAGTCCATTATTGAGTGAGTTTCATAGTGTTATTAGTTAGGGTGTTTAGTCGGTGTTTATTTTATGATTAAATCTATAGAGAACTTAGTTACTTATGGTGTGGATTATAGTTTTGTTGATAGCTTGATCGCATTGAACTTTGCTCTCTGTCACTTTCTTGCTTTTATAATGGGTTTTGGAGTTGCTGTTGTAGTAGCAGTGTTAACTGTTAAAGTTTTTGCAACAACAAGTTCAATACTTTTTGTTAAGTGTTTTGTAAGGAGTTATTAAGAGAAGTAGAATAAGGTGAGAAGCAGAGCAATTTTTGTTGTCATGTGAAGTTTCTGTGTCTCTTTTGAGTTTTGGCTCTTTGTTGAGTTGAAGGGGATGAGGAACTGAGATGGATATGAATGTTATCGGATTGAAAGTGAAGTCGGTTTCCATCTGTTTGTTTGTTGCGTACTGAATCTTACATGTATTTGGTTGTCACAATCAAATCAAAGTTTAATGGTCCAGGATGTATTTGGAGCAGTGTGTGTTGTTTTCTCTCAGGTTTACATCACCCCACCCCCTTGTTTGCACCACCACCACCACCACCATTGTGTGTAGTTGTGACAATAAAATCAAAGGTTAGTGGTCCAGGATATATCAGAATTGGACCTCAAGTGTCATTCTGTCAAGCATGCAGCTTGGTGTAGGGTAGGTGATCTCACATTTTTGTCGGTAAGAGGAACAGTTGCCCTCGCGTGCGTGGGCATGGCGAGGTGGTTGTTGGCCAGTGTGGTGTGAGACTCACATGCATGACTAGTTCTTGTCCGCAATATCAAATGGATGATTATTTCAGGTGAGCTAGCAGAGCAACAAGACAATTTCTGGGTTCTCTCTTGTTGTCCTTTTTTATTTTTAACACCAAAGAGTTTGCATATCTTTTGCTGTCGATGAGAATACATTGCAAACAAGTAATCTGGTTATGCCCTTCTTCAGTCGAAATACATTTGTGCCTCTGTATTAATATTATTGTTAATGCTCAACTCTGCATCATGTTCATTAGGTCATGAGGGTTCTAAAACTAGAAGAGAATCGAGAATTTATGAATTGCCATGAGTTGATGTTAATAGGAAAAGAAAAAACTGATTGAAGCAGTCATAATTTGAATTCCACATCCTCGTGATGAAGATTTTCAAAGACTGTCTTGAGTCTATATGTCTCTTCTCGTGTAATACATCTTGTTACTAATTGCTAACCTTCTCAAAATAATAATAATAAAATTGCTTTCCTAGCTCAATATCCAACCCCATATTGCTGTAGTACTCTTAACTCCGATGACAAGCTTGAGTGATTGGAGTTGGCGGGTTCGATGACAACGAGCCGTTAAGTACATGATTAGCAACCCACTGGTTGGCACCCTGAGTATAGTGAACTCCATCCCAGCTGATGTAAGACGAAGGAGTTTGACATGAAGGACCGTATACTTCACTTCCATTAACCATTCCTTTGTTCCCACACCAGACATGGTCGTACTTCACATGGTACCCACAACAAACCTTCATTGGATCAGCAAACCCTGCTAGCAAACATTGCATCATTAATTGGGTATCTAATAACATAATTAGCGGTAAGATAATGAAATCGAACAATCGCGTACCTTCAGTTTTTGCATTGCTAATCAGTCCATACTTGGCAGCATAGACATCCACGTATGTGATTGCAGCTTGTGGGAGCTCAGCTCTTAGTTTGATCACTCTGTCCTTGAGCTGCCTGTTGAACTCTATGGCTATGTCATTCTGGTCCTTGACACAGCCATGGTCGTCAAGATAGCCTGGTGGCGGATTCAGATTGTAGAACAGATTTACCGGCAAGCAACCGATAGGACCTGTGTTGTGTATCCAAAATGACCTCCCCCCTTGTTCATATATACGCTGAAGAATTTCAAACAATAATCACACCCCATTCAAAAAACAAGCTTGTTTAATCTCACACTAGACACAGTTAATTAACCTTGTTGATCTTGAGCAAATGATTGTATTGCTACTTACTCGAACAGCTGTGGCTAACTGGTTGAGGATGTCTGGCAATGCTGCACGAATTTGATCAAAACTCAGCTTCCGAAAACCGACAGAAAGATCATTTTGCCCAATATCATAAGTGTACAAAGCCTTTGCGAAGTCCTGAGGATTGGGCAGTGTGCTTCTATCAGAGGGGTTCTTGGCTGGACATATCACAAACAGTTAAAACTCAGTGTCCTAACAAGGATAAAGATTGAAACTTGAAACAGACTTGGTGCTAAAGATTGAACCTTCGCGATAGAGTTCGGCGCTGCGTGCTTTGAACTGAAGGAATTGGGTTGTCTGCATATCAAGCGAGAAAGGGCTAATGCCGTACTCGTAAATGGTTTCATTTGGCCTCCTAATGGTTGATCCTCCAGTGGCAAAATTTGCACCATGCCGGTAATTAGTTCCAAGTGAGTTCAAGTATGCACTCAAGTATGGCAATCTTAGGCGCTCAGCTACATAACATTACCATTCAACTCAACTCAATTGAACACTAAAACAAACCAAAGCATACAAATTCAAGTGTTTGATTTGAATTGTTACCTATGAAGTCTATGATGAGACGGCCATCAGAGTCTCTCCCAGCTGGCTTGTGAAAGAATGCTTCGCCGTAAGGAGCTCGGATTGGTTCAAATGCAGCTGATATGCCACCTGTGTCTGAATTTGAGTCTCCAAAGTTGTAAATTGCCGGAAAAGAACAAACTGGTAGATTTTCACCTCCCGCACCCAAAACCCATGACGCCAAGAAGAACCCAGATGCCACCAGTAGTTTCCAGAGCTCCATTGTCACTGCTGGACCAGAACCAGGACCACTGTTTGTTGATGCTATAGCTAGGATAGGGAGCACTCTCATTTAAAGGATAGTTGGTAACAGACCCCTAAGCCAGAATAGGAAGGACCCCCTGGTTTTAAGGATAAAGTTATTCAACTTTCTTTTTTAATGCGGGACAAACATATTCATCAGACGCATGTGCTCTTGATTTTACTCGGCCGAAAAAGAAGAAAAGAGAAAATCTTTTTATCACAATCATTTTTTTTGGGGTGGTTCCTTTTTGGGTTCTCTGCATGCTTGAGATCAGATGTAGTTAAACTAAGCTATGGTGGTAATTGGCTTTGAGATTGGGAAAGCTATGGAAGTGACAGGAACAGCAGAATGGACAGGATAATCTGATACGATCCAGCAGCAACACATGGCCTTGTTCACAAAGGACAGTGACACCGGCTGATCATAATCATGTGGCAGTGAATGAACAAGTGTCTTGGACTTGAAGACAGAATTTTCAATATAGTCGGTGATGTGGGGTGTGTGACTCTCGTGTCTGTAAGCCTAACCGTATCTTACATAAGTTTATATAAAAAATATAAATTTAAGATATCTTAGATAAGGTCCATATTTTGTCGGTACATGCCACACTCATGAGCAGCCAAGTAAAGAAAACAGAGATATTGTTAATGCGTGATGAGCGGAGGTAAACTTAGTTGCAATGGGAATAGTAATGATTCGCTATCTCATGTCAATAATGCTATATTATATAAAAGTGTTATCACGCTTGTTATAATATTACTAATCGAGATTGTAAAATAATGATATTTCTGTTTTATGGAAGTATTTCTTGAATAGCGAGGATGAATAGTGAATGATCAGCAAAATCTATATATTGAGCAGTGTGCTACGCATCAGCAAATCTGACATGACAGTTGCTGCATTAAAATCCAAACAAATAAAATGCAGAGGCTAACAGAAGGTGAAGCAATAAGGTGGATCAGATACAAACAAGGGTATTCCATTGGATTGTTGGATGTTGCAGCTAACTTGGGCTCTGGCCAAGGTCTGTTAGTTAATTGATGGGCCATTTTTTATGGGGCTTAGAACTGTTGGGGAATATGAAGTTAAAACTGATTCTGCTGTAACGGGCACTGATCAAGTCCTGTTACCTAAAGCTAGCTACTTTGCCTTCTCTATTGTTTGCTCATTACTTTTGGTGCTCATCAATTTCACCTCTTTTAACCAATCATATTCATAAAAAGTTAGATTTAAAACTCTTTGCTGATTTGAATTGTCAACTGCATTAATTTCTTGTTAACTTGTAGGCTAAGAAAGAGTTACATATGTGGAAGTAACTACAGAGGTTGAAGCCTATGGCATGAATTTGTGATTGGAAGTGGTGGGTCTGAGAATGAACCACTGATTAATTGATTAGCAATCCAATGATTTGCTGCTTCAGTGTAGTGTACACCATCCCAGCTAATATACAAGGAAGGATCTTCACATGAACCAGCATATACTTGAGTGCCGTTTATGATTCCCTTATTCCCACAATACACATGGTTGCTATCTTCATGATATCCACAGCAGATCCTTGTCTTGTCCAGAAATCCTGCATAAAAATTAATTACATGATTTTAGTTTAATTAAGTAGTTAATGGTTGGTTTACTTGCAAATGGTAGTGTGATGAATTCTTGTCAATATTGAATTTGGTTTACCATGCTTCTTTGCATTGCTGAGAAGTTTATACTTTGCAGCAAAGACATTGACATGTGTTATTGCAGCAAGGAGGAGCTCCTTCCTTAGTTGGAACACTTTCTGCTTGAGCGCCCTATTGAACTGTCTAGCCATGTCGTTTTGAAACTTGACGCAACCACGGCGGTCAACATAGTCAGGGTTCGGATTATGGAGGTAGTGTAAGGTCACTGCCAAGCACCCAATGGGACCAGTGTTGTGTATCCAGAATGTTCTTGCCCCTTGATCATACAAATTCTGTAACATAATGTGGCTATTAGTTTTTTCTCTACCAAAGACATTTGTTTATTAATTAATTAATGAGCAAGTTTCAGAATATACTTACTCGGATGGCTGTAGCCAACTGGTTAATTATGTCTGGGATTTGTGCTTGAAATTGTTCATCACTCATTTTCCGAATACCAGCAGCCACATCATTTTGTCCTATATCAAAAATGTAAAGAGCCTTTGAGAAGTCATCAACTCTTGGGAATCTGTGGGGTTGTTTCTTGGCTGCAGATCACAATTTCATAACAAATCAGAATAAATTTCTCATACATGTCAAGAAAACTAAATCGAAAACTTTCAAAAGGCGATATGATCTGTTTTTCATAAGTTTGTGACCTCGGTTGTAAAGACTGGTGGTACGTGACTTGAGCTGTTGATACTGAGCAATCTGGATGTCAAGAGAAAAGGGGCTCACACCATTCTGAAACCAGGATTCATTATACCGGATGATGGTTGCCCCTCCGGTAGCAAAATTGGCACCATGTCTGAAATTGCTCTCAAGTGAGTCCAAATATGGGCTCAAGTATGGCAATCCCAAGTGCTTTGCTGCATAATTAGCACACCAATGTCATCATTTGTCAGTGTTCTTATAAAATTTGGCTAATGGTGATTTAATTAAACAACTAGTCTAATACATTTACTGCAGGTTAAGGTTGTTCATGATAGTTACCAATAAAATCAATCATCAGACGGCCATCACAACCCCTGCCAGCTGGTCTGTGGAAGAAAGTTTCACCACAGGGTGATGCCATGGGGTAGAATGCAGCAGATATACCACCAGTGTCTGAATTTGAGTCTCCAAAGTTGTAAATTGCTGGAAAATCACAGGCTGATAATGTGTCTGCCACCTCTTCACCTCCCACACTCCTCACTACACACATAACCAAAATACTGGCAACAACAACAAATAATCTTACCCTCTCCATTTTCACCACACCAAACATGCAACTCATATGTAGGAGGCCACACTTGGATTGGAGGTGCCCCATTATTTATAGACACCTGGAGGAGAGAGAGAGAGAGAGAGAGAGAGAGAGAGAGAGAGAGAGAGAGAGGCTTAGTTTGTACAGAGAGATGATAAGAAAGACAAAGGCTTATTGAGATTCATTACTCCGCAAGCAATGAGAAAAAAACTGGTATATCTGCGCTTTGTTTATAGCTATTTTGTCAGTGTGAACAGCTTAGCCAGACTGCTCTTACTTTGTTCATTTGCTCTGGGCTGTGGTTCATACTTTTATATGAGCATCTTACTATTTTCTTAAATTACTTCCTGCAGACAAGAATTTCCCTTTAATGGTGCCAAAAACTGGCTCTTTTTTTTTCTCTTCTTTCAGATCAAAAGTTGTCCTTAATTATTATGTTATGCATGCTGTGCTGCCCAAGAGATTATATTCCCTCTCTCTCTCTGGTGGGTGTAATTAGTGAGCAAACAAGTCATCAAAATTTGTGGGAACTTTTCTGTAGTGCATGAGACCAGTCCATCATTTTCTTTATAAACAAAGATTTGCATGTTAAGACTTGCGGGTGAGGAAAACCTTGGCACAATATAAGGAGAAGCATAATTTAAGTTGAAAGTGAGACACACAGCATTATTCTAGCAACTGCTTACCAAACCTCTATAAACAATTGGAAAATGGGTTATTTGTTTAAAGAAAGACAAATGAGGAAAATGAAGAAAACCATTTGAATATCCAAAAAATTTCAACCAAGTAACTACAAAAGTGGTGCCTAAGATTTCAAAATGTAAGCCTTCCTTGTCCTGGTACCACCACCACATGCGTGCGTGTGGGCATATCTCCATTTCAAAGAGCATATAGTAAAAGGTGCTACCAACCATGGACCATACGGTCATATCAATATATACATCAAGAAAAGTTGAACAAAGGGGTAGCCCAAGGAAGAATAACATGCCTATATAAAGTATATATAAAAAATACCATTAGATCCAATTGTCTCATGCCATTACCCAACCCAACTGACATATTCCTCAACTTGACATGTATTTTTGACTCGTGATTGATCAGGATCCAAATCACTCACATAATTTACATAACAAACAACAACAAAAAAAACAGAAGAAAAAAATCCCCTAATTCAATTTTTTTCTCGAAAAGGCCTCTAACTCAAGTGGTTAAAAGTATTTATTCTTGCACCCCATATACTAGTTTCGATTCCTGTTTCCCTCCATACTTGTATTTTGTTGTATCGGATAAAAAAAAAAGGTTTGACTGGGAAATGGGCCAGTTACTGAGGTAAACAAAAAATAGGAGGCCCATATTTTGGACTTCGCCTTGGCCCGTATGAGTCCAGACAGGGCTGGCTTATAATTAGGTCTGCGGCCCAAAACATACTCTCTTCTTCTCTCGCTCTCTGTGCGGCTCGCAGCTTGAGGAAATAGTAATGGCGACGAGTGAGGAGAAGGCGAAGGAGAAGGAAGGGAGCAACCTACTGGGCTCACCGACCTTCAAGGAGCTCGAAAATGGTCGATTCCAGTGCGTTGAGACAGGCCATGAAGTGGTGGCCAAAGACAAGGAAATTTACTCTCAGAGCAAGCGGTGCCGTTTGGGTCTGGTCGACTTTGCCCTTTCCCATAAGAAACCTCCTCTCAACATGTTCAAGCAAGACCCTCTTTCTCGGTATTTCAATTTATTTCTCTTCCATCATCTTCACTCGTAAAGATTTTAGCTTTGACTGTTTTCTAAATAATTTCACTGTGCTTATTGCTTCTCTTCGGTTTCTTAAAGAAATCTCAGCTAAAAAGATAAAAGTAAATGTTTCAATGTTGAATTTACGTTTGCTTACTACTTGCCAAATTGTGAATAAATATACAAAATGCTTGTATTTTTAGTTTTTTCCCCGCAACAAAGCAGAGAGCTTTCTTGTTCATGCTGATACCCTGTTCGTTTTCTTCTTTCTGCAGTTCAAAGTTGGTGTGTAAGCTTACCGGGGATACTATCAATAAGTCAGAGGAACACATTTGGAAGCATATCAATGGCAAACGGTTCCTCAACAAGCTAGGTTCGTCTTGTTGTGTTTTTCATTCTTTTTTGAGGTTTTCAAATCCATCATATTGGTGCTCTTTCAAAATTTGTCTGTGGATTGTCTTTTGGACTCGTAGGTTTCACATACATATGAAATTGATGGTGCCCCATATGTTTCTAATGATGACATTTACGCTGACTTGTATGAACAGAAGAAAAGGAAGAACAGAAGCTAAAGCCGGACGGAATGGTAGAAAAGCTGGATGATCAGAACCCTGAAATAGTACCTGAGCCGGACACAGATGGTGTCAGAAAGAAAAAGAAGAAGAAGAAGACGAAGAAGAAGAAGAAGAAGAAGGAAAATGGAGCTGATGAGACTATCTCTGAAATAAGGAAGTCTTCTGATGAGGAAAGTGATTTAGAAGAAACTGACTTTTGGATGCCTCCAGTAGGAGAACGTTGGGACTTTGATGAGGGAGGCGATAGATGGGGTTCCGGTTCAGAGTCAGAGAATGAGGATGACGAGGTTGATGGAGATGGTATGGCTTTAGTTGTGAACAAAAGTATAGTATTAATTCCGGTTTTTGTTTATAAAAATATGTTTTATTGTTAGTTTAAATCTTCCAACGTGACCTTGAATTTCATTATATGTTTAGTTTCAGATGGTGCAGTTGAAGATGGTGAGGAGGAGTCAGAAGAGCTATCCATGCGGTATGCTACTTCTTAGGTTCTAGTTGTCATTCTTATATTTGGAGATGGAAACCACAAACTCCCTTGTTTCCTCTCCACACGCACTGTTCTGTTGAATGTACTTTATTGTTCATGTACTTTGCAGGACAAAAAGAATGTCCATAGAAATTGGACCAAGCAGCTTTGCTTCAAGGAAGAAGAAGAGTAAAAAGAGCACCACATGATCGGCCAATCAAGTTATCTTCAATCTGCGATATTAGGGCAAGGCAAGAGATTAATTGTTTTGAGCAACTTGTTCTGAATAGAGAAACATGAAGAAAGAACTGCGATAGAGATACTGTCGTGATAGAGTTGTAATAAATTGCTATCGATTTTTCAAGCTCGTTAAGGTGCAATTTTGGAATGTTGTTTTGGTAGGTCAAAAATTTTAGCTCGTGTGAAGGTTGTACTTTTACTCTTTAAGTTAATATATCAAAACATTATTTCACTAACAAGCTGGTTTGAATGTTGCATTTTCACTCGAGTGTAAAATAATCAATAGTGTCATTATATTTCACTAACAAAACTGGGTTCTGTATTATATCTATTTGTTGGTATTATGTAAATGCATAACAAACATCTCAAATGGGTAGACTTTATACGATTGATTGAACAAAATCTCAGCAAAATTTCAGCGATTGCTACATTATTAGACATTGGAATGAACCTGAGCAATGCCCCAGCTCTTCCACACCCAAAGGAAATTAACATTTATTTGGGTGTCGTTGAACGTGAAATGGTACCGTCTTCATTATCTGTACCAAAGTAACGGTCTCCAAACTCCCCCATGCCGGGAATCACACGTAAATCTTCGTTCAAAGATTCGTCAATCTCTGATGTAACAAGTTTTAGCTTCGGAAATCTCTTGCAGAGGGCATGTATTCCATCCGGTGCCTGCATTTGGAAATCTAGGTTATACAAATCATGCACATAAGTTTACATGAGCTTATGTGTCAATTTCAGAGGAACAGGGAAACATCAGAATGACTCACTGCTATAAGGTTAAGGAAGATGATGTTGGATTCTGGTACACCCTTACTGAGGAGCAGAGATATAGCGTTGATGGCAGAGTTTCCTAAGAATTTACAGATTTTAGACAACATTACATGCTTCCAATTAGACGTTAGATGTTTTTTCTCAAACCTGAAGCCAGAACAGGATCAAGAAATAACACATGGCGGCTTGAGATGTCTTTTGGTAGCTTCTCATAGATCAACTGCAGCAACATTGCAAGGATATGAGAGAGAGAGAGAGAGAGAGAGAGAGAGAGAGAGAGAGAGAGTTTCAGAAGAAAAACAAGGGTAGAGATTGTTTCTTTTGGTGAAAAATTGTTTCCTCCACGAACCTCTCGACCATTGTTACCCTCTCCATGGATGAGGATTTTTCCAATTTTTATTCCCTTGACACATGCTCTGAGTGCATTCTCCATGCTTTCTCCACTGATATTAGGAAACTAGAATGATGAGACGATATATTTCAAGTATTTTAAGACATAAAGTAAAGTTGCAGCACTGATCAGCAGAAGCAAATACCTTCTAATGACTGAAACCCCGCACAACCGTTTGTAGAAAACAACTCCACTGTATACAGATCCTGCCAGCAATAACAGTATCATCAAACAACTTAATAAGAGTACAAATGCGACCGGGAAGAAGCTACATGTCTAGAAACCTTATAATAAAGAAACACAGATTAGTTATGGCCCATTGGTAATGGTGTTGCAATGTGGTGATGATTACGTAACGGCTTCGTCTAATTGAATGTTAGAGCAGCAATCATTACCCGTTGGAGTAATAACCTGCTTTTCCTTGAAGGGGAGATGACCTAGTCCATGCTCCACAACCTGAAACATTGGTTCAAAACATTATATGCTAGATCATACTTGTAAGTAGTCAGAAAAATTGTCTTTTTACATAGCAAACTAGCTGTACCAGGCGAATCAGTCGGTCTGCATAGAAGACAAAGTCATGCTTTGTTGTTTTGGCATCACGAATTAGGGTGTGCATTCCCCGTATCTGAACCAAACAAAGATCGGGTTACAGATATCGACAACATGAACATGATGACGCTGATGGGGTCACAAAGTTGTGAATTAATGTTACCTGAAATGTAGAGAATATAACGACAACGTTTGGATATATTTTACAGAGTTCATGCTGGCCAAGCTTTGTATGAATATGTTGTACTATCAGGTCAATTGCAACATCATTATCTCCTCCTCGAGGGATTATGATATCTGCATATTTTTTGGATGGCAATATGAATTCTTCGAAGCTAGGCTTCACGAATCTGGCGTACTGCAAATTACAGCTCTCAATCAGTTAGTGAGTGACACAACTAATGTCTAGAACAAACATCATGGATTTAGCTGTGGAGTAATCTGATCACCGCAAAGAAAAAGGGAAAAGAAAAGGGAGAACTGAACCAACTTGGTCAAGCACATTCTCGATATTTCTGCCTCTTTCAACAGTGTCACGTTGAATTCTCCGAGAAAGCCGTACATCAGAATCTGCACTGGTAGAACTGTTATAATGGTTATTGGATAAGAGGTCATACAAGGTAAAAACACATACAAAAAAGGCTAAGGTCTCTCAGTTCATTCAATCGTAGAGAAGTGCTTAACATTGACAATGAAGGAGTCAGCATGCATGAATGAGGTAACACTGAAGAATAAATAGATGAAGATAACCTGTGTCTACGAAGATTTTCATGTTCATGAGATCGCGGATACGAGGATCATGAAGAACTAATATTCCTTCTAAGATGATGATGTCTGAGGGGTTAACCTGCAATTGAAAAGAAGCATAACATTTTATTTGAAACTCTGATTCATCAATGCAATATATGCATGGATTATCCATTTTGCAAGATATATGTATGATTAGCCGAGCTGAAACAGAAGTTGCATCATATGTATAACTAGCAATACAACTGATCCACAGAGTCTAAATAATATCTTGAAATTGGTCACAGTAAATGCAGTTAAGAATAGTTACCTTGCAAGCTGGTTCTATGCTTTGATGGGTCTTAAAATCATAATTTGGGATGGTCACTGCCTGTCCACGCTTTATTTGCTCCATACAAGAAAGCATATGCTCAGTATCGAAGGCCTCTGAGATTGAAAAGCAATTGCAATATGAAGCATCACACACACAGGACAAAGAAAAAGACAGCATGAAAGGAATGGTTACCAGGATGGTCAAAATTGTACTCATGGACCCTTTTCAACTTCTCAGCATTCAAGGAGTGATAAAATGAATCCTATAAACACAATACTTCATTACTTACACCCATCCCACTCCCGTTGATCACATAACGAAACACAATCAACAGGAATCTAATATAATAAATTAGTAGAAAACCGAAGAAACTTACTTGATTTACGAGAACAACGCGCTGATCACGCAGTTGGGAGATGATCATGTTGCAAACGGTAGTTTTGCCAGATGCAGTGCCACCAGCAACACCTAATCATCAATATGAAGAAACATGCAAATTGGAATTGCAAGAGATTGAGAGACAGATAAGGGAAGAATGAAGAGGGTGAATTACGTACCAATGAAAAAGGGTTGCTTAGGTTGGACTCTGGGGTTGTAGACAACATTATTATTATTATGAGATTGATTCAGAGAAAGGTGGTTTTCGAAGCCATTGCTCAATGCATCCACAGAGGCAGAAGAATCCATGGAATGGGACCGAGTGAAAAGCACAGCAAGACAGAGTGAAGGGGCGTGGAAGAGAAAAGAAGTACAGAATTTATTATAGTATTATACGAGACAAGGGAAGGAGAAGGAGAGAGTGAAGGTGGTGGTAAGGTGGGTCTGATTTTTTGTGTTTGGTGTTTAATTAAATCAGAGAGAGATTGAGAGCCATCCCCTACCCCTAATCCTATGGGTTTGGAAGCCTTCCGTTGGAATGGCAAATTGGAAAAAGGAGATATCACGGAATTAGCGGGAACTAAACCCATCCCATGTGCGCATGTTTCGTTTGTCACGTGGAGACATCCTTGACGTTTCCTTCCTGTCTTGCTATTCTTCTTCTTAACGTGTTTGGTTTTTAAGGATCCTCTGCTAACGTATGAATTTCAGAAAATATGTTCTGAAAATGAAATATTATCTGAAAACGTTACCAGATGAGCCCTTACTACCTACCTTAGTAGTCAAGTTTCGTTTTATACTTCAAAACAACTATTGCCAATAACTCTCCCTATCTTTAGCATCGTATTAAATTCGTAAAGAATAAATCCAAGATCATAATGCTCCATTCCAACCACAACAGCATACATAAGCGGCATTGTTAGGGGGGAAAAGGAAATACAAGAGTGTTTATTATTGAGTTTATGTAATCAATCCCCCAATTGGTATTGGATTGTAAAAATTAGTTACAAAAATAAGATCCCACTACGAAAAAGTCTCCTAGTTGTGCAAGTTTTTCTTCAGTCGCTGTTGCTGTATGCAGACTTTCCTACGTACGTTCACACATTCTGCAACTGCATCTCTATCTATATCCCAATATGCCTGTACTACTGGTAGCATCTCAATCTCCAGAAACAAAGCGCATCATGGCCTTAACCGGAACTGAAGGCATGCCCTTGGGTCTCCCATATTTCTATACATTCTCTTGGAATGGGCAGGCTCAACACCAATACTGAAGCTGGCATGTCTTGAAGAAGAAAAACAAAATCGAACAAAAGAATGTTAAGTTTTCCATAAAGCAGCAAGCAAGTATTAAAATACTTGACATATTCTAATCCAGAAGTGGAATTTGCGCAAAGCAACAAGAAAATAACATAATATTGTGGAATTCTTAGCATGATCAAAATACGCCCTATGTCGAAGAAATTAGGTCATATACCTGAAAAACAAAGCAGAATCACATCGCTGTAAGCCCCTCATCCCACAACTTCTTCCTTGCAATCAAAACTCTTTCTTCACTTGAGGAAAGAGCATCAACCCGTGGTTCTACTTCTGATAACCAGCCATCCCACTTCAAGGCAGTCAGAAACTTTCGGATATAGTTTATAACAGCAGGTTTGTCTCTTATGATGACAAACCCATCTGGTCTGAGTATCCTATCCATTTCAATCAATAGATCCTCTGCACCACAGCCCTGCTCACCGATCTCGGAAAATACTGCCCATGCATGTAGAAGATCATATGTTCGTGGGTATGTGGAAAATGCTTCACACCTATAAAATACAGTAAGTGAAAATATTCAAATCTCTGAACAGACCAACAATATCTATATAAAAATTATAAACTTTAACTAATGAAACATAATCAGATAGCCAGCATATAATGATCCATAAATCAAACATGTAGCAAAAAGGATATCAAACACATAATTGAAAGGATAAGAGGCGGAGTTGAGGACTGAATTCAGATCAAAATACGTACCAGTCATGAACAGTTCCAATTAAGCCCCGATCATATATGATCTTTAGTCTGGAAGATACATGGACAGGAGCAACATTCATCACCCAAACGTCTTTTCCATTCAGGGCAGCAGCAAATCCACCAAGGTTTGAGTTCATATCCATGACATTTCTGATTGAATTTTTCTGTATGACAGACTTCATCTGCTTCCAGTACTCAATCACTCTAAAACGCCATATGCCCTGCATCGCATGGATTTTTTAGGCACTCATTAAATAGAACAATAAAATTTTGCAGGCAAATTTCACTGTGAAGAGTTAGCTGGTAATCAGGAAACTTACAGTGTCCTCTTGGAATTCTTCAGGACTGACACCAATTTCTTCCAGGCGGGGGGGTGCTGTGGTAAGCCTCTGTGGCCAAGGAGCTAGTCCACTTCCTTTTTCCTTGTGCACCTCTGATTTATAATTTTAGTAATGATAATAATTAGACGGTGGAAAGCCAAAAATATTAATAATGGAAGTATCGCCATGCTACTTACTTGCAGAGTATCGAGAAATGCATGCCTTCATGCTCACATTCCAACTTGCATCTGGATCATCATCGGAATCGCACAGGGGGGGATGGGTCTGAGGATCTCTCTTCAAGTAACAACTATTAGTCAGTGGCTTGGCCCATACAACACTCTGCTCTTTCTTTGCTGCAACTTTCCAGCACATTCTTTTTAGAAGATCAGACATAGCATTCCAGATCTTCCGATTTTCCGGATCCTGTGCATATGCTTCAGGAGAAGTGTACACAAAATACCCTCCAGGTCTTAGTAATCTGTCAAGTTCTAATAAAAGGATTCCATCTCTTTGAAGCCAATCGATTCGACATCGTGAACAATGAGCCAGCTCAAATGATCTGCTTGGATAAGTAAGTCTTTTTGTACCCAAGATACCAAGAGTAGAGGGAATCCCCCTCTCTAGTGCAAATTGTATTTGATTCTCATGCACATCATTAGGAGCAAGGGACATAGCTATGACTTGGTGAGAAAGAAGATATGCCCCAAAACTTGCAACTCCACAACCCACATCGAGAACATTCCGGATATTTCCACCATTGTTGAACTTATCCGCAGGAAATTTAAGCATCTACACAAATAATAAGCATACCAAGAAAAACAGTTATGCTATGTCCACTTGGGATAGTGCATAATTGAATAATTCTCTGGTGTAGAGAATGAAACTAGGAACAGAAAAAGCAAATATTAGGAATTCCAGACCAAATATCATTAAGTTAAACATGAGGAAACAAACCTTTATTGGTGCAAGCTGGATTCAGCCAAATAGCTAAATCAAAGTGGAATTTTCTGTTTCTCTTTCTTCCAACAAAATTATTCCACTAAATCCAAGCTGCTAATTACTCTTCCCCTTATATTATTAAACAAATACAGAAAAGAATCAAGAACTGAGTCAAGGTTATGTACCCTGGAAAGAGCAACAATGTACTTATCAGCTCCATCATGGAAATGTGTCCCTCCACCAGGAAAATTGATCTTGTCCCCATTCACAACCATCCAATTCTGATCTGATTTCTCTTGAGCAAGATGGGTGTGGGGGATGTTGGCCTTCCACACTTCATCTCTACTTTCCGGCCATCTTATAGGTATCTGAAACTCTAGAAATGAATTTGTCCGAATCAAAACTAAGTGAAGCCAAACAAAGGTAAACTTACACAAAAGCAATGACCATCTACCTTATAACCAAGTGGCGGTGGTATCAAGCAATTATAGCGTCGCTCTGGAGGCGGGCAATGCCGTTCATAATGCTCCATTAACGTCAAATTGGGCTTCAATTTCAGTTGGTAAATAAGGTTTCTATCAATACAAGGTATCAGCTCCGAGAACTGTAAATCACAGACCTGTGGGAACGTGAAAGGTCATCAATTCAAATGAACAGAATACAAACAAGACAAGAAGATCAGTGAACGCATTTCCATTGATTATTAGTATGCACGCCAGCAAGGGTAAGATAACTTACACTTGGAACAAAAAAGTTAACATTTTTATAACACATGCTCTATGCCAAGCGAAAACACAAAATTAGAAACAACAACTTTCAAGTATTTGCTTACAGAGTCCAGATAAAACTCATCGGTTATACAAAAAGGTGGAATTTCTTTTTCTTCACACGAATACCGCAAAATTATTAACAAGTTATTAAATTTTATAAAAATTGCTATAGAGAGGTATGCTTTTTCCAGAACCCAAAACAGTAACTCAAGTAAGATACTTGACAATTTACTTAGCAACAAAATTATACTAAGCAGCAAAAATAAATTAAAAAATCTAACAACCATGAATTAATGCGTTACGTACAGGTATGCTTTTGGGGACCTCGGAGTTGTGCTCCTGATCTTCATGTAAATCGTCAAAATCACGATGGAGAACGAACCCACCGAAAATCGGGTCAGAGCCATCGGACCCGGAATTCTCTTCGTCGGATCGGCGCGAGCCCGGGCCGAAAGACCACCCGTAGTATAAACAAAGCAAACCCAGACACACAACGAGACCGATTAGAACGGACTTTAGCAACTTGTGAGTATTAGGGAAACTGAGCTCACTCTTGTGCTTCATTCCGTACGTTCTTCGAGCTCGGGCTCACTCTCAAGCTCGATGGATCCGACCCGAGTTTTGCTGAAACATGAACCTAAAGCCCTAGTGGTACTGGTAGATCCATGGCTAGAGAGAGACAAGCAGTGCGATAAGAAGTGCCGAATATGAAGCAGATATTGTACGGCGCTCGCTCTTTTCGCGGGAGGGAGGGAGAAAGAGATAGAGATGCTAAAGTGCGGTCGAGCCTACGTGAGTATCAAGCTGACTCAATTTACCTAAAGTACCCTTACGCTTGTGATATTTGAAATGGAATCTTTAGGGTGGTTAATAAGGTCATTTAGTAGAAGAGCGTTTCAATGAATTTTGGTTTGGCTTGTGATTGATTGTTTTGGCGTATTGATGTTGGAGACGTGGACTCTTGGGTCGCTGTGTGAGGCGTACTGAGGCCCATAAGCTATAGCCCACCCAAATTTTGATTTATAATTTATTGTGAGTGGGTCCAAGATTAAATTTGGACTGTCCTCCAGTCCAATGTTGGGGTTTGTTTGTTAGGCCTCTGGCCCAACTCAACACCCAATGTGCACGATGTAGACCAAAATTTGCCCTACTTTTACCAGGCCCTGGTTTTGGTCGTCAGCTCTCTCTCTCTCTCTCTCTCTGTTTCCGCAGCATTATCAGGAAGAAAATCAAGCAAACAGTATCTATCTCGGCTCCGCACGTAAGTTTTTCATTCATCAATCTGTCGAATGCTTAATTTTCTTTACTTTTATTTGTTGTTTCCGTGAATTCATCGGTTTTACTTGCATTGTTTGTTTGATATTTTAAGCTTGCTTAATTGATGAATGCATATACGTTTCCATTGGATACTCTAGTCCTCATTTGATTTTCGTTGTTAAACTCGATCGACTGCATACTAATTTAGGTTTAAAATTCGTGCCTCCAGTCCACCCTTACTTAAGCTACCTTTCCCAGGCAATTAACAAATTAACTATAAATATACTTCTTTTCCTATTATTTCCTTGTTGGAGAAGGATAGGGTCTCCTCATTGATTTAGGGATAGTTAACTACAAATATATATATATATATATATAGATACACACACATACATACATGTAAAACAAACACCTTCAGGTTGGAGTTGAGCCTGACAACGATTCCTACCGTATTACAGGTTGCTTGCTGATAGTGATACACACACCCACCAACCAAGGCACAAAGCATGAGCAGGATATTAGCTGCTGCCCAGTTATACGCACGGAGAAGGGGCACGTCAGCTGCTGCTTCCGAAATACAGAGCATCAGCAGCTCAACTGGTGCTTCCGAGTACTGTTTTTTATATACCGGTGTGAATCAAAAAGAAGATGTAAGAATCTCATTAGACTCAATTCCCAGGGACAGTTTCAAAATCTGTATAGATTATCAAAAGATAACTCGAGTCTTCCTTTATATTGCTGGTGAGCATCGTCCAGTAGAACTTCCTTATGCTTCTACATATCACCTCCTTGCTGAGAGGAGTTTCTATGTCCCTATGCGTGATGTCAAGCAATTTTCATCAAGGCCTAAATGGACGCATGTCTTGGCTTATCATCTTTCCAAGATGGGTGTCCCACAAGGTGCGCAGCCAGCTCTCATTGTAAGAATACTTGACTACATTGAAGAGGCCGACAACCACAGCGTTGAGTTGCCAATTCTTGTGCATATTGTGGATGCCACTTATCACTATCTGAAGTCGGACCACAACAACGACATCCTTGATAGGGTTATGAGGCAATCCTCGGAAGCATACAGGGCCATGCTTATTCCTGCAGCTCAATCATCCATTCAGGGCTTGGAGAATGTGAGGCTTGATTATCCTACTTTGGCCCCGTTGTCCTCATGTATTATTTGTATGGAGGGCCTCCTCCTTGATCATCATGATGATCATCACTCTGATAATATTAATGCCGTCCCTGCTTCTCAAGATGATCATCATGATCAAGATCAAGGTCAAGATGATCATCATGATCAAGATCAAGGTCAAGGGGTTGATCATTGCCATCCACCAAGGACGATCAAACGCTTGCCCTGCTTACACCAATTTCATGAAGATTGCATTGTCCCGTGGCTGCAGATCAATCACTTGTGTCCCCTGTGCCGATACCCGCTGGAAGTGCGCGAGTCATCAAAACCCAAACGAAGGAGATTATCACGAAATAATGAAAGAAGACCTGCAGCCATGATGCTCAGCTGGAACAATATATGGTAAGAAGTTAATTAATTGCTGTATTAGCTACGGACCTGGTTATTTCTATTTCTTTATTTTGAGGGGAGGGTTTTCATATCCTATCCTAGTGATTATGCTGCTCATCAATGAGAAAACAATGTACTACTGCTACTGGTTTTCTAAGTTGCATTAGCGGATTTGTCTTGTTTAACTATTTGCGCATTTAAGCCTGAGAAAAGTAAACAATCTTAAGAACTATAAATAATATATGGTTTTCCGAGCAAAATAATTTCATGTCTAAGGTGGTCTTCCTCCTAATTATAGTCTAAAAGCTCTTCATTCTTTTCTTTTCTGGTTGTTTGGTTTTCCTGCGACTTATATATATTCCTTCATCTTTTCCTAAAGACTGCAAAATCATGAAGAAACTTGTAGCGTGCAAAAGAATTAAGTTAAAACTGAATATTTATTTGTTTTTTCCCCCTCGTTTTCTATGTAGTTGCTGTCGATCTTGAGTATAATCCTAACACAAGATCAAAAGAATGCCTCCTAGATCAGAATGATATGAACATTATACGTACCTTGGTTTTCCTTAGGCAGAAGCTGGCTTGATTATTATGTGCTCTTCGGGATCATAACATTAACATGCATGCATGTGGGATCATTGTACCTGGTGTTCCTCTTCTAGAGGCTTGGCAAGCTGGGTGCATTAATGGGTCATCAAGTCTTTAGAAGAAAGAAGAGTGGAGGTTGGAGTTGAGACTCAAGGTTATTAGTCTTACACCTCCCGAATATTAAGGTACTTCATTCTTATTACAGTTTTCCCTCATTGCATTTAGAAAACTCATCTACTTTCATTGATTTTTTATTCGTCTTTATTTAAACCCCATAACTATTATAAAATATTATAAAAGCAAAAATGTCACCCTTGTTCTCCTTCTCCACAAGTCTCTAGTTGGATTTTGAATTCTATCCAACATGTATTAGTGTCTAGGCATAGGGACATTCAGTCCTTAAGGTCTGTCTGCGGTTCTGTTTGCTTTGGCTCTGTATCCCAGCATAGCAGTGTTTGCTTGTATACATGCATAACTTCAAACTTTCCACACTTCAAACTTCAAACTTTGGACCCAAGTTTGTTCCTTTGAGACTAAAAACTTATACTTTTTCCATTTGTTTCGTTATATATATGTTTGATGGAATTTCTTTACGTGTCGTTGCAAAATTTTGATTCGAATATATAATGTTCAACATTAGCTCGTGTGCATGAGTTGAGATGTAATAGCCTAATAGGACTTGGTGTACTTTGTAGATGCTGATATCTCTGTACACAGGAGTGGAAGAAGAAGAACTGAAGAAGGGTAGTGTTGGTGCATAGTATTATTGTTCTAAAGGATTGCATAATTTGGTCGCCAAGGGAAAAATGGTGCAAGGTCTGTCACTCAGTACTTTCACTGCGTCACGTAATGGTGGGGTGGGTGGATCGATGCCTTCGTGGAGGAAGCATTTCAAATTGATGAGGAAAACCCGGATAAGCTCGGGTATTGAAAGGCATGGTAGCTGCCACCTGTGCCATCAAAGGTCGTTCTTTGGAGGTAACCAAATGAGTGGCCGACGACATTTCTTGAGGATATAGAATAAAGAATCGAATCTTTAATATACTCGTTGGCGATCAAGGAAGTCAATTCATTATCTATTACAAGGAAGTGGAATTCTACAAGAAAATGGTTTTCTCCAAATATTATATGAAGGCAACTCACAAATCCTAGAAGATCATCATCTCAAAGGTAAACGTAATCCTAGAACACCAACTTCATCACCTTCAACTCTTCTGATAAGTCTCTCACTATCATTTCTGAATACCCATCGACGAATAGCCAACCGAAGGCCATCACAAGTAATGTCTGTAAAAACTCTACCACTATCAAGCTTCCTATACAAGTTCTCAGCAAAACACCGCCAGCGTGATGACCAAACTTGTCATACTTGATCTCCTTGCTCGGTGCAAATCTATTCAAGTCTGCCCCGTCCAAACTTGCATCAAGCATTGTCAAGAATTTTTCATAGCTAATAGAAATTTTCGTAGTGACTATGCTGTGAAAAAGAGACACCGTCCTATTTTATATTGGATAAAGTTGTATAACTTTTGAAATTAAATTAATTAAATAAGTAAAATAAGGGTAATATTTCGAATAATAACCACAAACGAATTACTGTAAAATATCAAATAAATCTTCATTACTCACATTTCTGTAAAATTAAAAACACTTGCAGACGCTCTTTATTTTGTCTATTCCATTCTCATCTCTCTCAGTTAAATTAAAAGTAGCATAGGCGCTTTGATTCTATTTTGAATATTTTATATGAGTATGATCATTTTGAATTTTATTTTTTCAGTAGCAAATATAAAGTTGGACAGGAAAAGCCTTTATCTTCAAACTGTTGTGGTTTTGTTAAGTGTATATTTTTGGGGTTCTTCCATAATCAATTATTGGGAGCATGACCAAAATTGTTTACGGAAAAAAGCATCTCACTCGTTTTTGGCTTGTTTGGGAGTGATTTTGAATAGACCAATAATTATTTCTATAAAGTAACAATTCTTCAAAATCACTCTCAAAGTCATGTCGTGATTAATTGGCCTATCCATAAGTCAAATTTCTTCTCAAACAAGGGCAATTTTGGATGATTTGACAATTTAACCAATCACAATGATCGAAACTTAGCACAACAATTCTCTTATTTTAAAAAAAAACAAATAGTAAAGCTTTTCTCATTTTGCCGTTACAAAATTCTGATAAAGGATTTGATCATTTGACCCCAAATATATGAAAGGAAGATGTATATCTGGAGTCGTTGACCGAGGGATGACACACACACATGTGACAGATGAGGTTAGGAAGTTAGGAGGATGTGAGGCCACAGTCGCAGCGCAGCCAAACAAACCCAACAAGCAAAATCTTTCTTCTTCTTTTTTGGTGGACAAAATCAAATCCTTTTCTTCATCCTCATCATCATCCCTTTTACATTACTCAACCTGAAATTCAAATTGCAGAAATAATAAAAAATAAAAATTTAAGAAAAAGAAAGCGAAGCAAGAAACAGCAACAGCTATTATTGCGTTGCTCAATTTCCCCGAAACTTCCATGTGCTGAGACCACGATTTCTCTCTGATTCTGATCTCTCCGTCTCATCAGAAGAAAGTAAATATTCCCTTTTAAAATCAAAAGAAAAAGCCCAGAAAAAGTAGACATAAAGGTTGCCCACTTTCTTAACCAATGTTAGTTTAATCCTAATCAATTATTTGAATTAGATCCACGAGGTCAGTTCAGTTTATTAAAAGCAACTCTCGTCGCCACTGCAAGACTTGGCTTGGCCACTCTTCTTCACCATGCTCCAGACACCTTCTTCTTCGTCTTCTTCTTTGAACACAGGTACGTAAGATCGACGTCTCTCAACTTCTTGTTGCTTCAATTGCTGCACCCTTGTTAATATCTCTTTCAAAGTTGTAGCCGTTACTTTGCAAGTTTCGGAAATTAGGCTTTTTCTTTCATCGGTACCGGATTTTTACCAGATTAGATCTTCGACAATGTCGCTCTGATTTGGTTCAGGGTATGATATGAATTTGTGTAGTAGTTTTCTTGTCCTTGTTCCTGAATTTATTTTTATTATGACGATTTCAATTTCAATTTCTGTTCTTAACAAGCAAGTAATTGAATTGAAGCCCCCTTGATTTGATAGGTTTTGTTTTGGTATTGTGGTCGGTTTGGTTGGTCGTCTGTGTAATTTTAGATGGTTGCTTTTTGTGGATGGATCCGTGTAGAAGCCACCTGGGTCCTATTGTATCTGCCAAAGTAGAAAACTTAACAGAGTAGGCCACTTTAAGTCGGTGATGAATGAGTCGTGTCCAACACCGTTTCTTTATTCTTTTATTTGTTTTGCATGCCAATTACGAACTTTCTTGGACCCTTCCCTATATGTATTTCTTTTTTAGTGTATATATATATACGACTACCAGAATTGAATTCAAACTTTTCGTTTTCTGGGTTTTGTTGTGGCTGCCTTGTAGGTGCGGATTTAGACTGGTTTGGTTGATTTTGTGGCCTGCATTGTTGTGAAGGAAGGGAAAGAGGGTTTGCTTGGATTAAAGTTGAGGTTTTTTGTTTCTATATTTTTTGATTTTGTGGTTAATAGAGTTGAGTTAATGGGTGGGAGAAGTTCAAAGGAGGGGAGTTATAGGCAGAATTCATCTTCTCGTTCTACTTCTTCATCGTGGAGCTATCCTCAAGTTCAATCGCCATATGTTCAATCACCATATGCTCAAGAGAGTCAAGCTATCCACCACCCCAGCAAGCCTATCCAGCACCATCACAGCCTTACCATCCCCCATCGCAGGATTATGGTGGTGCTCGGGCAACTCGTCCTACCTTGGAGAGGAAATATTCAATCATTTCTGATAGTTACAAATCCCTAGAGGAGGTAAGATTACTACACTGTATCTTCTGCAAGCTTTCCTTTTTCTGGTTCAAGTTTCTTACCTATCTACAATGGTCAATTATATTGACTCAACTTCAATCTTTGTAGGTGACTGAAGCTCTTGCACGTGCTGGTCTTGAGTCTTCCAATCTTATCGTCGGTATTGATTTCACAAAGAGCAATGAGTGGACAGGTTAACCCCTAATAAACTAATTAACTGTATATGGTATGTGTTGCAATGGAACGTGCTAAAATTGGTTTTGTTAATAGGATCGAAGTCATTCAACAGAAAAAGCTTGCATCACATTGGGAATGGTCAAAATCCCTATGAGCATGCCATATCCATTATTGGAAAAACCTTGGCTGTTTTTGACGAGGATAACCTCATTCCCTGTTTCGGCTTTGGAGACGGTAATTTTTTAGTTGTATGCTGTCATTTTGTTTCTCTAAGATCTTGTTCTTTGTAAGACGGGGATGACAAGCATTACTTTTTCGCTTTGCAGCGTCAACCCATGATCAAGATGTCTTTAGTTTCTACTATGATAGATATTGCAATGGATTTGAGGAAGTGTTGACTCGCTACAGGGAAATTGTTCCTCATCTACGGCTTGCAGGTTTTAGTTCACTTCCTAACTACTTATTTCTTGAAGTGGTCGCTATATCAGCTAATCAGTTGTCTTACATTGTTATTGATCGGTTTGGCAGGACCAACTTCATTTGCACCTGTGATTGAACAGGCCATGACTATTGTCGAGGAGAGTGGTGGCCAGTACCATGTCCTGTTGATAATTGCAGATGGCCAGGTATCTTGCCTTAATTTTGTTTTATTTAGTTGAGTATGCAACTAGAGGGTCGAGCATGCCGGCCATGCTTCAGATTTTCTGTGAAAATTCGAAAATGTGTGTGACTAATCCAACAGAAAACCATTGCACTACTTTGCTGTCATTATTGCAAATCTCAAATCCAGATCGAGTAAATTGCTTTTAAATTTGTATAAGATGAAACTTCTTTGCCCATTTTGTTTTTTATTTTGGCGGGAAAGTATCTGTTTGGTTTTAAGGTCTAGCACAGTTCAGACATGCTGGTCATGCAAAATAAATAGCATCCACTGAAGATCTCTTAGTGGTGCCTGCACTAGCTCCTAGGCTCAACTCTATATGAAATTACACGTTGCTGGACACATCTATTCTTAAACGAGCTTTCTCATCCTTGCTCTGTTTTATGTGGCTTGGAAGTGGCAATGTTCTATTGTAATCTCAAGTTTTCTCAAGATATTATCTGACTTAATGTGAGATTTTCCTCAGGTAACTAGAAGTGTAGATACTGACCGTGGCAAGCTGAGTCCACAGGAGCAGAAGACAGTTGACGCCATTGTTGCAGCAAGGTGAGTGTGGTAATTTGTCCTTAATATTAGTTGCTTGTTTGGCCAACCATTTTTTATGTTGTACAATTTTTTTTTTCCTTTATCACAGCAAGTTCCCTCTATCAATTGTACTAGTTGGTGTCGGAGATGGGCCCTGGGACATGATGAAGGAGTTTGATGACAATATTCCTGCTCGGGCATTTGATAATTTCCAAGTAAGGTGTTAGCATTACAATATGTTCTTGTTTATGTTACTCATGATCATTTGTTTATGATTATTGGAAATACTTAATTGGAAAGCGCATTTCTTTTGTTGTTTGTAGTTTGTGAATTTACAGAAATTATGTCAAAGAACATGCCACCATCAAGAAAAGAGACCGAATTTGCTCTAGCAGCCTTGATGGAAATTCCTTCACAGTACAAAGCAACAATAGAGCTTAATATATTGGGGTAAGAATGTTCTCTATATTTCTCATATCTGAAAGCTTTTGATTACCTTTGTTTACATAATTTTTTTATGTATATATTTTCTTCTTCTTAAATGGGCAGTGGTAGGATCGGCGCCTCTCCCCAGAGGGTTCCTCTCCCCCCACCATCTGTGTTACCAGCGTCATCTTTCAGCAGCTCAAAACCTTCCCGTTCTACGAGTTATAGTTCTCCATCTTTCAACAGCTCAAAACCTTCCCAATCTACCAGTTTTGAGCCAAGTGTTCCTCCTTATTATGGAGATAGCACTTCTGTTGGTACAGCTCCACCTGCTCCCAGTTCTACATATGATAATCAGGTATGCGAGCGAACATATTTTTGAGTTGATGGTTTATTTGTTTTTGTTCATCAAGTCAAAAGCCTGTGTGATACACATGTAGTCCCAATTTTCTTATATGATTTTCATTTGGTATGTTTGAATTACTTTGGAATCCGAGGCTTGATTGTCTGTGATCTATGACTTGATTGAAGCTTTTTGCTCATTTGGGTTTGCAACACTCGTGGGTTAACGTTTTATATGATGTTGGACAGGTTTGCCCCATTTGCCTTACGAATCCAAAAGACATGGCCTTTGGGTGTGGGCATCAGGTACATTTGAATGATAATGTTTCTCAAATATTTTGGAGGTGAATTGGGGCGATGCCATTTTCTTAATTCATCTTTTTTTGCAGACATGTTGCGAATGTGGACAGGACCTTCAATCGTGCCCGATATGCCGAAGCGCAATCCAGACGAGAATAAAACTCTATTAAGGACGACATGCTTTGCCCATGTTAGATATTCATTGGTGTTGGCTGACATTCTTTTTATTTTTTGTTTTGGTATCTTTTCCGATCAGTACATTCTTTCTTTGTAATTCAATGCTTAGTTGATCAGGATCTTAGGTTTGGCCGAATTCAATATACGATGATGTTCATGATCCAGATGCGAGGATGCTCTAGTGAGTGAGGTTTTTTGAAAAAAATATTATTTTTGTTTGAAAAGAAAAATAAGAATAGGAAATGAAATCTGTACATTTTGTAATTGGGTTGTTGCTGGTCGTTTTCTTGTTCGTGTAAAGAGTAGCTGGGTGGTCCTCGTCCATTTTTTCCACTGCGATTGAATTGTTGTAGATGGTGGTCCATGACCCATGACCCCCGTGACCCATGATTAGATTGTTGCTGCTTGCTTATAGCAGAAGCTAGGCAAAAGTCCATGGCATTGGGGTATGGCTTGCGGGAATGCCTAAAAAACTTGGTTATGGAATTAAAAGGTTTCACGTGTTTAGTGTTCCATCGGTGGATGTGGATTGAAACCTGAAAAAAGAGGAGGTGGCACGTCTCTTAGCTTGTTAAAGCATGTGCTTCTTTCTGTGCTACTGGATAGCCTATTGCTTGAAAATGGCTCATCTGGAGGCTTTCCGTGACGCGTGCTTGTCATCAACTTCACCTGATGATTATCTGCTTTCTATGATACATAAATAGACTTGACAACCGTGTCATGTTTTATTTTATTTATGCTGCATTGTATTTATATGATGTGAAATTCTCATTCGATCTGTTAATGGTGCCTTATATTAATTTTTGCAAATAACCTACTAGTGTAATGGTTTGGAGTATTTATTTTTTTAGACAAAATCTTGGGTTCGAGTCTTGAGTTCGAGCCCCTCTCAATAAAAAAGGTCCTAAAAAAACAAAAACAAAAATCCAACCTGTTTACTTATGGTAAATGTTATTTTTCCATCCTTTTATTTTACAATTGTTTATTTTGCTTGGATATTACAAGAAAGGGACAAGCAAAAGTAATTTGCGACGCACGTCCACCACCAGCAACAATCCTTACCCACTTTCTTCGTTTCATTTAATGCACTCAACATCTTCTCCGAACCAACTATCCCTTCCCTCACAATATTATTAGCTCAGAAAACCAGGTGCTCATACTCAACAGACACCATTCTGCATTGGCATATCCAAACCAATATTTCAAGTTCAACAACTAGCTCTCTCTCTCTCTCTCTCTCTCTCACCCAAATATTGAAATGACGACCTCATCCTCCTCTGCCAAGCTCCCTGCATACCAAAGACTCAAGCATGATGATGATCAAGATGGGCTTGAACTTGATGATGATTTTGATTATGGAAGAGTGAGAGTGTTGGCGAGATCAAGGAGTACTAGTTGGTGCAAGTTCAGATTCAGAAAGGTTCATATTAGGAGGAGGAGATCATTCAAGCTCAAAGTTCCAAGCTTGAAGAGGCTCTTGTTCTTGAGGAGGAAAATTAGGTTGATCTCTGCTCTCAGAGCTTCATGTGCTAAAGTGTTGCAGAGATTCAAGGAAGGGCAAGGCCACTTTGGTGATCTTTTTGCTGGCAACTACTTGTTCCTGCAAGTCAATCCCAGCTCGTTGAAGAGCCTTCACAAGGCTGCCTTGCCCTCAAACTATACCCTCCCAATCCCAACAACAAATATTGCTTAATATGGATGCGGTTTCTGCAGAAAGAAATTCAAGAATTATAATTGTGTTCTCTAATATTGGTCGCTTTTTTATTTTCTAGCTTTTTTGGTCACATATTGCTTGTTTTTCTGTGTGACAATGCATATGAGAATTGTCTAAAGATGGGTTCTTGTCTTTTTCTCTGATCACTCTCCTAGAAATTTAAAAGGGAGAATTCGAAGACATGACCTCCTATGGCAATCATCACTTTGTGTCTCCTTTCCTCTGAATTAGATTGCATGTACATTTTATTGCCAAAAACTGTTTAATCACAAGTTCACAACCAACTATAATCAAATCTAAATTAATGAAGATGAGCTTTAAATATGAAAGCAGTTGGCTGGTGGGAGTTGTAAGTTATGGTAATTGCTATGTCTGGAGGACCGCCAGACCAATCCAACCCTATATGTAAATGACTTGGACTTGAGCAATTAATTCATAAACGTGATATTATTTAGCATTATTTGATACATTATTTAACATACGGGCATTATAAGCAAACTATACATATTTTAGTTGTTCAAGTGATTAAGAGCAGTTATCCGTGCATCCAATCCAATGTCCTGTGTTCGACTTTGAACTCCTTCAGTATCGAATAAAGGATGTATTTTTCTAATTGGGCTTCTCATGGCCCTGCTTGCTATTTTAAGGCGGTGTTTGGGCTTGCCTTTTATTTTAAGCTCGGTGTTTGGGCTTCATGGCCCTCCCAAAGCCCACGGAGCATCGAAACGGTGCGTTCCACTGTTAAAGGCAGTGAATCAGGAGGGCAGAGTGGAAGGAAGGAAAGAAGGCAGCGAAGGGGAAGGGTTTGGGCCTTTGGGGTTTAGAAAGAGAGAAACGTTCACTCACACAGAGACACAGCGAGTCAGCAACAGCGACACCATGAGGCTTCTCCAATCCATTACTGGTAATGCTACTGATACACTCTTTTCCTCCATAGCTAGAAAGCTCTAATTTTTCGTTTCGTTAGATTTTTTTTTAAAGGTTATTGCTAAATTACGGTGCAGGTCAGTGTAGGCCGGTGCTGCTGCGAGCGCTGGGTCGGCGATACTTGGCTGCGGCGTCAACAGAAGAATACGCGAAGAGAAACTACGCGAGCAACGTGTCGGAGTACAATACGGTCTTGAATTCTCTGAATGCTCAGAGAAGGCATTTCTTACTGAGGGATGTGTATGATGATATGATGCTCGATGGGGTGCAGCCGGACCAGGACACCTTCAAATCCCTAATATTGGGCACCATGAAAGGCTCTAGCTTGCAGGACGCTTTCTACTTCGCTGATCAAATGAAAAACATGGGCTTGGCCCCTGATGTATGCCACTTTTTTTTTCTTTTTTCTTTTTTCTTTTTTCGTTTTTCAAGCTTAGAGAGTATCAACATTTTCATTTCATTTTATGGGGAAATGCAAGTATGGGTGTTTATTAGTTTGTGTTTTTTAACTATTTTTTTATATAAAAATTATAGGTTAATTCGTATAACATTTTGATCACATTGTGCGGGAAGTGCAAGCACTCTGACAAAGCTATTCAGGTGCGGTTTTTTACCTTCTATTTATAAACTATAGACCTCAGTCACATCATTCACTAGGGAATATTGGTATGTATGATGTATTTTATTTTTCCTTTCCTTTTAAAATCAAAGATTTTGGAAGATATGAAGAAGTTTGACGTGAAACCAAAGGTGCAAACTTACATGTGTCTACTCAACGCATGTGCAGCTACTGGCCATTTAGATCGAGTGTATGCTTCTTCTTTTATGCTCTGGCTTTTCCTTGTTCTTTTAATCCGTACTCATTCATCTTATCCTGAAAACTATGTGTTTCATTATTACTATGGTGAATTTGACCTCATGCTATTAATCTGCATTGCAATGTTGTTACAGGTATGCAATTGTCCGTGACATGACCGCTGCTGGTCTTGGATTAAACAAGTTCTGCTATGCAGCACTTATAACCGCACTTAGGAACAAGACACCCTTACCAGATGATTTTGGCACCAAAGTAATTATCTAATCTTTCTTTTCCATGTGCTTTCAAGTAAGTTTTATTTTATTATTCTTATGAGTTCTCTAATATTCCCTTTTTGCAATAAGATTATAGAGTTTGTTGAAAGGTCAAAAGAGTGGACATCGGTTGAAGAATCAAGTATGACTGCTGAAAATGTAATGATGGATATAACAGAAGAAGAGTTATATAATATGCCCACTGCTGAATATGCTCGTAGGCGTGGATTTTTGAATAGGCAACTAACCGTGTATCATGCTGCGCTTCATGCTTGTGCAGACCTCAGGAATGTAGAGGTAATATCTCACATCTCTATTTTCTCAGCTCAATACCACTAAAGAAACTAGTTTTTAGTTTGTACCCATCCTCCCTTTCTTTTTCCCTTTTTTTTGGGAGGGGTTGTTATTGGGCACTGCCCATATCTATATGCCTGAACAGCTAGCACCAAAGGTCAGGGTGCTAGTAAGAGTCCCATGCTATTTCCCTTTGCCATAAAAGCTGAATTTATGTCCTTAATACACGTATGAGCAACCCTCTGATTTTTAATTCGTATCTTGGATTCTGTTAATCGTGCTAGGTGATGGAAGCTCTTTTGGGGATGCTAGAGAAAGATGGAAAAACTCCTGACCTCTTTATTGTGATGCAAAAGATGAGGTAAATAATTGTTGATTACAAACTTAAGTTTTTACTTAAACATTGTTCGAATGAGCTATGAATCTTCATATATGAATGCATAGTGAGATGTAAACTATTATTTGTATACATAGATTTTAAAAGCCTTTCAATCCAATTTGGATTGGAGTGCACTACGTATTTAAGTAAGAAGGCTTTATCTGAATCGTTCCCTAATATGACCTCAATTCGTTCTCTTGTGTCCAAGTTGTGTTCACTGCTATCATTTATATTCAGGTGCTATCTACAGTCTGGGGACATTGACTGTGGTCTTAAGACGTTTGACGACTATATGAAGTCAGGAAATCTTCCCGCAGTAGAATTATATACGGTGAGTTTGGAAATAAACACAATATTTGTTTCATGAAGCAGCAGTTTATTTCTTTATAATTAATGACTAGCAAGTGAGAAAATGTGCTTGGTAGACAATCTGATTTCTAAAATATCACTGTATCGTTGATTAGCTAATACGGAGATTCACTATTATACCCAATATGTTTTGTAGATGCTTGTGGAGGGAGCCATGATTGGGCATACACCCAAGGGAATGCAAATTGCCCAAGAAACATTGGTATGGTTGGGTGCTTGCAGCTCTTAATTTCTTAGTCAATTTTTTATATAGTAGATCAGGGCCTTGTACAACTCATTTTATGGTTTCATCCAACGCAGGTAAATATGACTTCCCGCAACTTTTATTTGAGCCCAAAAATGGGGAGTGATCTTCTCCTTGCAGCTGCTGGTGATGAGGTTTGCAAACAATTCCTCTTCTAACTTAAGAGTTCTTTGGGTTCTAAATGAATGAGATAGTTCTTTCTCTCTCCTGGTTCTCGATGCATTCTAAATTAGTTTGGACTGTTTTATTAGAAAAGTTTAATACTTTTTTGCAGACTGGAGGTTATACTGTTGCCAACTATATATGGGATTTGATGCAAGCTCGTAATATAATTCCTCAATTTCCTGCTGTAGAAGCATATTACAAGGGCTTAAAAGTGAGTCTCTTGCCTTATGACGCATTAGTAACAGTATTGTTTATCTCTGATTTACATTTTTTAGTTGATCAATTCAATGTTTTTCCAAAAGATACATCATACGTGCAAATGCTTGTGAATCTAATCAAAGCTCTAGAGTCTTCTTATTTTTGTGGGTTTTGACAAATATTCCTTCATTTCTGTTTCCAAAATTGCAGAAACGTGAGATTCCCGGCGATGATCCACGACTGTTAGTGGTTACGCGGACTTACGATGACCTTCTCGCGAGAAGGGGACCCAGAAGACCTTCCAGATAAATGATGACGAAAGTTACTCCAAGGAGTAGTTAGTTCTCATGGATTTTTATCGTTCAACAAGCATTATTGATGTTTTGGAGGAAAAGAGTCATCGTTTAGAGCAAGTGTTCCTGGTATCAAAAGTTAGGATACCATAAGGTGGATTTCAGTGAGGCTCCGCTTGGTTATGAACTCGGGCGTTTCAACAGTTTGTATGTTGTGGCTTCCAGCAAAAGTCTTGGAATGGGCTCATCTTTTGAAGTTTTTTTAATTTACCAGAAATGAAAAAATAACAAAGTTTAATTTATTTTTGTTTTGCATAAAACTTTCAATAAAATAGTTTAGGTTGAGCCTGGCCATGGCAGTGACGAACCAAGCTATGGCCTTTACTGTCATACTGATTTCAGGGCCCGTTCTGAACTTTGAGTTCTTTCTGTTATTTCTCAAGTTGGGCTGAAAACTGTAAGTCACACATCCATCGGTAGTTGATGAAATTCCTTGATCAAAAGTTGATGTTTGCACAAACAAATAGTAAACATTATTATTAGCTTTTACTTGTATTAAAAAGAAAAATAAGGTTATTATTAGCTCTTAAAATCTGATCAATACTCTTCTGAAACAGAAAAATGCTGATCAATACAAGCGGAAATCTAAAAAGTTAAAACTTTCTTTCTGCGGTACTGAATAAAGGGTTATTGCAAATGTGGGTATTGGCTTAATCAATGTGTTAGCCTCTTTTCACTCGAGTTCGATTCACACACTCCAGTATACTAGAGTTGTGCTTGGTTTAAAAAATAATAATAATAATAATAACCTATCCGGCCCAAACCGGCATGAAAGCTCCAATCGCATTGTTTGGGGCCGTTGGGCCGTTGGAGTAATTAAATAAGAGAGGCAAAACGGTGCGTTGGATGTTGGCAAAACTCGAAAGGAAGAAGAAGCCGTCTTACGAAGTAGGAAGATTGTGAGCCGCCTCAGAGACCGAGAGAGCAGAGCAAGAGCTTCACCGGCCTCAGTCGTTTCGCCGCACTCTTTCTTCTGGTACTTTACATACCCTAAATCCATAATTAATAATTTAGCAAAAATATTTTACTAGCATTTTCTATATATGCTATAATTAATCAGAAAAATTACAGATTGATGCAAGCTTTAAATTTTGTTTTTGTGTTTGTTTTGTTTTCGGTGTTTTAGGGTTTAAGCAGATATAGGTATCAGGGTGGGAAGGTGGGCATGGATATCACGAGAAAGAGTAAAAAGAAGAAATTGGTGAAGGAAGGCGGGAAGGATGAGAAGCGTGGGGTTTGCTACTTGGGTCGGATTCCTCCTCGCATGGATCCTTCAACACTTCGTCAGATGCTCTCTCAGTTTGGAGAGATACAAAGGGTTTATCTTACACCTCAAGACCCTTCTGCTCAAGTACATAACATCCGAGCTGGTAAATTTCAAAGGCAAAACTTTTCAGAAGGGTATGTCATAATCTCTTCATATTGATATGTAAAATGCAATTGGTATCTAGCTATTTGATTTCTCAATTTACTTCTATAGAGACCCATTACATTGTTATTACTGGCCTATGATAATTTGATTGTCCTTATCTGCACCTGCAGGTGGGTTGAATTTTCTGACAAAAGGGTTGCTAAGAGAGTTGCTAATATGTTAAATGGTGAACAAATAGGTAATTATATATATAGATTGAAACCTTTGGCTTGAGTATTTTACTTCTTACAGCTTGCTTTGTAGATGTGTGCGTTCTGCTTGTATTTCTTGTCTAAAAGTTTTGTACTGCCTGCCTGTTTCCTTCGTGTTTAGGTGGGAGGAAGAGGTCATCTTTCTACTACGATCTTTGGAATATCAAGTATTTAAGTAAATTCAAGTGGGATGATCTTACTGAAGAGATTGGTACAGACACTTAATGATTTGTTTTCCCTTGCTTATTGTCATGGAGCTTCATCATTGTTACTTGTTACTGATTTGACAATGTTTACATTGAAGCTTACAAGAAAGCCACTCGGGAGCAAAAACTAGCTTTAGAAATATCTGCTGCTAAGAGGGAGCGGGATTTCTATCTCTCTAAAGTTGATAAGTCCCGTGCTTTGAGTTGCATAGAAGAAAGATTGAAAAAGGTATATTTTCAAATATTCTGTGAAGAGTGATTATTTGTACGTTTCTATTAAAAAAAAAGAGTGATCATTTGATGAAATATGTAGGAGAGGAATATTTTTCAATGCAGCCATCCCATCACCATTTTCTCTTGTTTCAATTACTCCCAAGTTTTTTCCTTCCTCTTTCTGGCTAGACTATATGAATTAGCTATTACTGTATGACTTCACGTTTTTATGTCATATTTCTCAAATGTAAAATAACGTTAGTTTGCATTAGTAGATGGAGTTATCTGCTTCTTCATTCTTCACTTACCCATTGAAGTCTGCAAATATGATCTATCACTGTGTATTGCTCAAATAATTCGTCTTCTAGGACTCTTTTTCATCAAAATGTTTAGCAAAATAAACAACTTTGAACTGGGGGCATCAGTTCCCTTTACACATAGCTAGGTAATTCCGTATAATTTGTTTCGTCTTCTTTAACAGAAGCAAAAGGTCGAAGAAGATCCAGGACTAAAGCAAAAGGCCGAAGAAGATCCAGAAAACAAGCCTGATCTCCCTGTTAGCCAGCCAAAACGGGAGGTAATTCGCCGGTTCCGACAGAAGACCCCTGTTGCAGATAATGCTGCCGAAATCAGACCTCGGCTCTCGAAAGATATACTTGCAGGGGTGAGCATCTTTTGTTTAATATGCAACCATATATTTTTCCTTATCTGTCACTTAATACTTGCCTGTAACTCCATTTGCAGGTATTTGGTGGTTCTTAGTGCTCAACTTTTTAATGATTGGCATACTTAAAGTGGAGCTGCTGTAAACCAAGGACATCGTCTGGATCTCCGGAGTGCCTGCCTGTGTTTGAGATTTGAGTGGTCTTTCCCAATTTTGTCACTGATCTAGCTGGAACTAATCTGTATATGGTTTGAACCAGGATCACAAAATCACACAATATGAACCGTGTGAAAGATACTTGTATCTGTTTTTATTTTATATGATAAGTTGCTTTTCGTTCGAGTTATATGGACAAATCATATAAAGGACCTTTTCATGGTTGATGTTCCTCACTGTCTTGAATCTCGATCTCCTTAGCATATGAAGGACCTTTTCATTGTTGATGTTCCTCACCTCTCGGGCATGTTTACAAAAATCAGTCTTTTCCACTGACCTTGATTTAATTTTGCCATCTCGTTTCAGCCTAGTCCCCTTAGTTATCCTTTGGTACTTTGAGATTTACGATGAATATTATTTGTTTTTTTAAATTTGAAGCCTCAGCCTACATGTTTGTTTTCTTTCAGTTGTGAATGTTGTATAAGAACAGAACAAATTCACGAACAACAAAACATGCCAGCCATCGCATTAGTGGAAATTAGACAGACAAATAAACAAAAAGAATAGCTACACAAACTGTTGAGAAATATTTCAGCATTGAAAAGAGACGAATCCCTGAAAGGAAAATCAAATCTATCCAAGAACTTAGATTCTATACATTCAAATGTTTTCACTAAGTAACATGACTGTTGAAAGAGTATGTTCAAAGCGCAGATGTTGGAGAATGAAGATAATTTGCACAAATTGATTGAATACAGAGCCTATTTCTGTTCTAATTAGCTGCAACATCCGCCTCTCTGAGCAACAGCTCCATTCGAACCTGATGGACCTTGGGGTCGTCCATATCCAACCTTGATGCCAGATGACTGCAAACATAACTAAAATATTAGTTTTGAATTTTTTTTCCTCATTTGACATATTACACTTCAGATTTCTCAGTGCAAAGAGACTCCAAAGTTTTCTGGACCAGCCAATATGCATGATATCTGTGTTAGGTAGAAGCTACATTGTCGCATTTTTTATGGTTAGATCATCCAGTATGTTAATTACCAGTAAGGAGATCACATTAAGCAAGCAGAGTATGCAATTAGTGAAAATTCATGCATGGTGTTTATAACGTTAATTTTTCACACACTCTCTTCACCAATATGATATGTCAGAAAAGAACTGGGATTTAAAATCATGTCCCAACTCCTATAGCTTACAATTTCCCTCAACAAAATGACTAAACAGTTACCTCATTAGACACATCAAACACGCCGTCCTGAATATTCTGAAGAATCTTTGCAGCAGTCTTTATGAAGGCCTGAAAAGTACGTTCATCAGTTTAGACATACTAAAATACGTCATTCCAACCATAAATAACACATACAATACAGTGAAATAGAGTCCTGGTTTGATTTGGTTGAGTAATATCACCTCCTCAACGTTTTGAGCCGTTCTTGCAGATGCCTCCAAGAATAAAAGCCCATTCTCCTTTGCAAATTGCTCTCCTTCCTCTTTACTGACAGCCCTTCTATGAGCAAGGTCAGACTTGTTCCCTATGAGCATGATTGTCATGTTGGGATTCGCATGCTGCCGGGCATCCTCCAGCCAACTTGCGAGATGATTAAAAGTCTCTCTCCTGGAGAATAAAACAACTTTAATAACTTTTCCGTCTTTAGTTGAGGTAACATATAGAGAATTGTGGAAAAGTTGAAAACAGACATAGGCATCGGTAGGGCTCCAGTTAGGCAAACGCACACAAACGCTGATGCACTATAATGCAAACACACAATTCACAACCACCCACCTGGTTATGTCATAAACCAGAAGTGCTCCAGCTGCTCCTCTGTAGTAAGATCTAGTGATGGATCTGAAAGATTCTTGCCCAGCCTGAAATAAAACCAAGGAACCTTGCTTAAGAATATTCACTGGACCACTAAATTACAGCGATAAATGTTGTATCATTACTAGAATTAAGATATATTAAGTCCATCTGCTTGATTATGTCCCAGGAAATATCTCACCAGATGCCCTAAAAACAATATAATGCGCAAAAGAAAAGTAAAGCCCAATAGCATAGAGATAGAGTCATGAAGTAGTTGTGAGTTTACAATGCAAAATGGGATTTTATTCAAAATTACAACACCAATGAGGATATATCAGAATCTCACTTCACCAATTTTCTAGTATCAAGTCCTAAACTCTAAAGCTTAGATAGGTTCTTTTGTTAAATTTACAGGCACATCCAATTAGATTAGCAGAAAGCGATAATATCAAATCTTGAAACCAAATAACATGACAAAACAGAGCAGAAGAAAGAAAGGAAATTGAACTTACGGTGTCCCAAATCTGGAGCTTGACAGGACGACCGTCGATGGTGACCATTCGGGCGCCGAACTCGACGCCAATGGTGAGATCATGCACAGGCTGGAACCTCTTGTCCGTGAATTGCAAGAGCAAGCATGATTTTCCTACACCTGCACCGTCCCACACCAAAACCCAATTGTTTTCATTACTCAATTCTCAATTTACAATCCTCAAAAATGAAAAATAAAATAAAATAAAATCAGAAAGCTAGGGATTTCAATAATTGGAACCTGTGTCGCCGATGATGATGTACTTGAAGAGATAGTCGTAAGACATGGTTAGTACGCTGTCGTATCGAGGAAGAACGAGGAAGAAGATGATTCTCCTCGCTGTCTCTCTCTCTCTCTCTCTCTCTCTCTCTCTCTCTCTCTCGCCCTCGCTCTAAACCTTCTCTTTTTGGTTTGCTTTGCTTTGCTGGTTTTAGTTTGTTTTACGTACGGACTATATTTCTGACTTTGCCCGCCTGATTATTAATTTCTGGTGTCTCTTATATATAATTAATTAATTAATTAACTCAAACTTAATTGACACTGTGACGTTTATATCACCGACACGCCAGTGTTTGCTTTGCTTCATCAGATGACAATGATGATTCAGGATATGCTCTCCTACAACAAGTCATCATGGCATAGTTTGCAATACATACGTAAACTTCTTTATCTATTCATAAGTAGATTCTCTTATCATTGGATTCAAAGATTTTAACTATATATAATCTTGAGTTACTAAATTTTTAATTTCTTTTAATACCTCAAATATACAATCCAGAGAAATTATAGTGTGATACGGTATTTCTCCTCGTTCCGCAGCCCATCTGAGCCATATTTAGCGTAAAGACTGAAAAAATAAAGGATAAATATATTCCTTCTAATTGAAGGCTAGAGGCTCAGGGGAGACGTATGAAATTGGTTACATGAAAAGAATGGAAACATATTCCGTTTATCAAGCCGTTTCCTTAACAAGCGAATTTTGCTTGAAATTGACAAACCAAAGAAAAAGTTCTTCAAATTCAAATCAATCGAGGTAGGCTTTTAACCCTCAACATTACCCAATCAAACCTACCAAGCAGAAAATACCTCATAAAAAAAGCACGGAACATACAATATCTGTAATATAATCAGCCAGCTTAAAAGTCTGTAAGATGCTCTAATAATTCTTAATGAATTCCCAACAAACAAAATAGTTAGCGCAAAGTCTGTATAAAAATGTCAAATCCACATGGAATAAGCAAACCCATAACAAGTTGGGATCAAGTCGCTGAGGTTTTACACTGAAACTGAATACATGGAACATTCCCATGCTCCCTCCCAGTGGAGTGGAGTGATTTCACTCTTCCATTGCATCGCCTGCTTCTATCACTTCCACCTTCTCGGTCAATGGAATGATCTTCGTTAAGAGAACCTCTGCAACCAAAGAAAACACTACAAGTTCAGAAAAAGTTTCACTAACTCCATATGTAGTTTCACTCTTTTCTTTTTCTAAGTTAGGTCCTAGAGTTGGATGAATCTTTGCCTTTCCACAGGGAAGATACAGAAAAAGAAAAAAAAAGAAAAAAAAGAGACTACGGATGTGAACAAATTATGCGACATAGCAGCTGCACAAACACTTACCAATACACCGCCTATGGAGGCATGAATCTTCTCATATATGACACAACATAAAATGATGCTAGGTTTATGATATGCAAAACAAGTATGGCATAAGAGTGATCAGGCAATTTGTGGTTGAATGATACAAAAGCAAAGCAAAAGAAGGGTGTTCCTACCAGTTTTCTTGGAGAATGTATAATCTTTCGCACTGACATAAGTACGAGGTGTGGGCGACAAGTGGTTCCTCAGGTATTCCTTGTGTCCCTGAGCCAGTACAAATTTACAAAAGAATTTGCATTAACATGAAAATATATTCTAGAAAATGGTGAATACTAATGACAAACAACAAACCTTAGTTATTACACAAACATCAACGTTGCTTCCACTTCCCAAGTCATTAAAAATGCCAGAGCATATTGCTTCGGTTACGAGCTTTATGCCTTCATCCCTCTGCATCAAAGTCACAAAACCAAATTTAAGAGCCCTAAACCTAAATACATGAACCAGATATCCACATGGGGATGTTACTACTAATCATGTCATAGAATACTAATGAGATGCGAACAGTAACTTGGGTTGTTTATTATTTGTAACCACAGATTCATAGTACCATACAACAAAGGAGATGCTTTTCAATTCATACAATGCTAACTTACAGTGAGACCTTCTTTGTACTTAGACTCAAATATGGCCATCGCAGCAAGAGAACCAGAGCCCATTGTAGCAAATGGCAGTGTGTCAGTTGATCCATGGGGATATATCTGCAATATAAAGCATTGGTGTTGGCATCATATCATGCAATCTCCACCAAAAAAAAAATCCATATCACATCCAAAAATCTGAAGCAAGAAAAATCTTACAGTATGTAGATGGGGTCCAGTGACATCAACCCCCCCAAGCACCAAAGCAGCCGACACATGACCTTGGTAACTGGACAATATATGTGGCAGTTAGAATCAAAATGTGTATAAATGCATATAGCTTACTCCTGCAATTTAAACTCCCCCCTCCCCTCCCCGCCCCCGCCCCCCCCCCCCCCCCCCCACCCCCCCTCTTCCCCCTTTCAAAGCTAATAATTGCAGAGCAGTCCTGGAAAGTAATAAAACTGTACCTAAAAAGGTGTTTCTTGAGCAAGGTCAAGGCTGTAACAACCCGTGATTCACGACCAGTATGGTACCGATGCAGTTGCAGCTGTGAGCTGACCATGTCTAGAAATCCATAGAAAGCAAGAGCAATCGATTAGGTATGATGGTCTATGGATCGAAAATTATTTAGCACACTTCACCTGCTTGTTCATGAACTTCATGCTATACTAAACAGACATATACAAACATTACCACACTAACAACAATCCTAACATTTACCTGTAACAGCCTCCGTATCAGCAGCAGTTCCAGCTCCACAGCAATAAATATTGGGTGCCATATAATGGATCTTTTCACAATTCTTATCACAAACAATGGGTCCTTCGGTGGCCCTGGTATCAGCTCCAAGAATGACACCATCCTGAAGAAGGAATTAGAAAGGAAAATTACAAAATTTAAAGCTTAACCTTTTCATTTTTTTCAAAAATATAATAAATTTGGTTGGGAAAACAATTGCTAATAAAAACTAGAAAGCAGTTGTACCTGAAAAATCAAACCGACAATGGTGGTTCCCGTCTTCCTATAAGATGGTTGCTGAACCCCCTTCTTTGCAAGCATGTCGTTTCTTCGACAAAGATCAAAACTAAATCCACCCTTGGGAACATCTATTGCCGCCTGAGACATCTTTTTTTCTTTAAGTTTGAAGTTAAACCTGCAAAACCATTTAACACATAGAAGTTTAATAGAGAAATGTTCAAACGTTCCAAACCCTAAAGCTAGTCAAAAACTATTTTATGAAAAAAAGTGAGACTGAAATACAATGCATGCAAATTGCTTTATCTGCAATGGAAAAATGAACAAAAACTATGGAGAATGTATGAACACGGATTGGGAAAACAGCACCAGCAGATTACTTGCCTAAGTTAATATACCTAATTTGGAACCATGACAGGGAGAGATCAAGAATATTGAGACAGGGAAGATGCAAATTAAGACAGAAAACACCCGCAAAAAGTTAATGAAAGATATCTAATACAATGGTTGGACTCTAGAACACGGCAATAAAAAAAAGGGAGTTTCACTAAAACACCCAAAATGGGGGTTGAAATTATAAAAAAACCCAACACCCAAAACACTTTATAAACACACCCAAAACCCATCATTACACACACTCAAAACCCATTTATAAACACACCCAAAAAATATACAATTGTTGATTTTGAGGTTGATTTTGGGTGTGTTTCTATGTTTAAATAGTGCTTGGGTTTTTTTATAAATACATGTCTAGAATTGGGTTTATTTATAAATTTGTATAAAAATAATGCAAAACATAACTGATTCAACAAAATCTCCAGAATAAGAATCAAACCAAAAATATTCCACTTCATCTATACGATTTATAAACAAAATAGTCACTCTTAAGCATTTAATCAAACAAATTGCGAGCAAAATCACAAGTACAATATTTTTTTTTGAAGAAACCTCCCGTTCAAGCAACATTCCAGTACTAAAGAAGACCTCGCAGAATCAGATCTTCTTCATTTCATACTATAACGCAAGCTAAATAACACAGGAAATTTAAAATAGCTCTAATTGATATTTAAAAGAAAAATGGGGAAAAGACCTCTAATTAGCTAAATTTGAAATTTTGCTTACCGGTAGGCGTTGGGATGCCGAAAGGTTGATCCGCAGAGAATCAAATCCGATTGGAAGGAAGAGATGGGTGGTGGAGTTCCACAGGGTTTATGTGGGAGACTGAGACTGTCAAACGAAACGAAACGAAAATAAAGGAAAGCGAGAAGGTGAGAGGAATAGAGAAGACGAACCTGAAAAACTTGTCCGACAAGTCGTGGTTCAGTTTGGGCCTTTGGTCCTGATGTGGCCCAAATGAGCGCAGTAAGCCCATAATATTGAACGACACAAAACCGACCTAAACGAATACAATGTCGTTTTCCCATCTCTAATTAGCTACATGCCATGGCACTTTTTGGTTTTAAAATTGTAATATTAATTTTATTTAGTAAGGGACACTCCTCTTACTAAATTAAGAATCATTTGCACTGTTCGATTATGATTAATTAAAAAAAAATAAGGGATTTGTAGTTTGAATGGTTAAGAGTATTTTACCCATGCATAAAGAGTGTTTGAGTCCTTTTTCTCCTATATCGCTTATGTTTATAATTAAAAAAAGACTAATTTAAAAATTATAAGGATATCACTTATTTAAAAATAATAATAATAAAAATATTATAGGGATTGTCGAAAGAAACATATCCCCTCTAGGCCTAAAATGGCTTCGCCACATGAATACGGGATTCTTCCCCATTTTACATAAGCTCAATTTTGGAGTTTTAAACTCACTTCACTATTCACTTGTAAAAATGTGAACCACATAATCCATGTGACTAAACAACACAACATTTTTAACCCTATCTATAGTAATAGAAGAATAAATTAGAGGTAGGTTTTGGCAAAAAAGAAAAAAAAACAGAACAATAACTATTCATGTGGACTAGCATATATGATACGCAATGCTCACCGATTGATGGGAATTAAGAATAAAATGTAAAGGTTAAGTGGAAAATTACTTTGACTTGCAGAC